TGCCTAATGAACAGATTTTTATGGGAAAATTGGAAGTTCACTTTTGGACATTTCTGACATACCTATTAGACATTCAAATAGAAATATTGAGTAGTCACTTTGATATAAAGTTCAGCTTATTCGAGGGAAAGGTTTGAGCCAGAGATATAAATGTGGGAGTCCTCAGAATATAAATAGCATTTAGGGTCATGAGGCTAGATGAGGTCACCAAGGAAATTAGTTTGAACTGTAAATAAAAAAGTAGTCCAGGGCATGCCAATGTTAAGAAGCCAGAGAACTGAGTTAGAAACCAGCTACAGATACTGAGAAAGGACAGTGAAATAGGAGCAAAACAATGAAAATGAGTTGTCCTGGAGGCCAGGCGAAGAAAAGTGATAAGGAAGTGATCAGCTGAGCCATGATGCTGATAACTCAGATAATATAAATACCTAGAATTAACAATTGTACTTTGCATCGCAGTGGTCATCAGTGACTTTGACGAGCAATCAGTAAAATGAGAAGGGCAGAAATCTTACTGGACTCCAGAGAAGGGTGAGAAGAGGCATTTGAGGCAGGGAGCAAAGGAAACAATTACTTTCTTTTTTTGTTTGTTTGTTTGTATTTTATCCTCACCTGAGGACATTTTTTTCCATTTTTTGTTCAGATAGAGTGGGAGGGAGAGAGAGGAAGAGAGAAAGCGAGGACACATCGAGTGGCTGTCACCTGCACGACCAACCAAGGCCAGGGACAAACTGCAACCGAGGTACATGCCCTTAGCGGGAACTGAACCCAGCTCTCTCTGGACCGCAGGCCGATGCTCTAACCGTTGAGCCAAACTGGCCAGGGTGACAATTACCTTCTTTTATTTAACAATCACTTTTGAATAACAAAATAAACAGCAAATATAACTAGATTTATTTTCATCCTCACCTGAGGACATTTTTTCCATTTTTTTGTTCAGATAGAGTGGGAGGGAGAGAGAGAAAGAGAAACATTGATGTGAAAGGGACACATCGAGTGATTGCCACCTGCACGACCCAACTAGGACCGGGGACAAACTACAACCGAGGTACGTGCCCTTAGCGGGAACTGAACCCAGGTCTCTCCGGACTGCAGGCCAACGTCCTAACCGCTGAACCAGACCTGCCAGGGCAAAGTAGATATTTTAAATGAATATTATGAAGATTCTTGAAAAGTGTTTTACAGATGCTAAATAAGATATGTACTGCCCTGGCCCGTGTGGCTCAGAGAGTGTCATCCCATTCACCGAGGGGTTGCAGGTTCAATTCCTGGTCAGGACACATGTCCAAGTTGCGGGTTCAATCCTCCATGAGAGCGCTTGCTGGAGGCAACTGATCGATGTTTTCAAATATATTGGCATAAGGAACTTTATTGTGATTTTTAAAGATCTCTATTATATCTCTAATTATACCATCTTTTTCATTCCTAATAATCTTTATGTGTTTTTTAGTACATTTTTCAAAAAACCAACTTTATATTTTGTTGATCCTCTCTTTACTTTCATCCATTTCATCAAAACAAATAAATTTTATTTTCTTTCTTCTATTCCCTTTAGGTTTACTCTTCTCTTTTTTCTGTCTTCTTAAATTGAAATGCTTTATATCTGGAGACAGATAATGTCAGATTGTTCCACTATTAATGATGCCATGCTTGACCATTTTGGTTAGAGAAATAACTGCTCGTTCTTTCCATTTTAAAGGAGCATTATTCCCTTTGCAAATGCTAAGTAATTAGGAGGGTAATACTTTGCTAAGTATTGTATCACTCAACATAATTTCACCTAATGAGTTTAACAACCACTAATGATCTTTCCCTAATCAATTATTCCAGTGGGGATTGCTAATGATTTTCTAATTCTATTACTGTTTCTACATTTATTAACTGATTTTATTTCATAAAGAAGAGTTTCCTTTTTTGTTGTCCCTTTTTATTTTTTATTTTAGTTTAGTGGTGGGGCCAGGGGGTTGCTTGTTTTCAAGTTATAAAATTTTTTTCAGTGTACTATCAATTACAGTCATTACTCCTTTTAATGCTCAAATTGTCCCAAATGTGGCTAGTAGGAACCCTTTCAAACTTGCCTTTGTCTTCCTTTGACAAGGCTCCATTAATCTTTGAGCATTTCCTTGCTTTCTGGCAAATGTCCTAAGTCTACTTTTTACTCTTCCTGCCCCAGATTTGGAATTAACCATTTATTAATGGCACCATCTTAACTAAAAGCAGTCTACTATCTTTCTATAGTGCCATTCTTCTGTCTTTAGAGTTAAACATTTTTGCATAATGAAGTTTACATATTCCATTCTCTAGTATGTTTTCATCGCTAAAATGGTTTTGTGGTGGGCCACCTGAGAGGTAAGAAGGAGTGCTTCTTTTTACCATTAATGGAGTGACACTGTACATGTAACCTTCTTAAAATTTAAAGTTGAGCTATCTTTACCTCAGCTCCATTAGACTATTAATGTATTAAGATACTTGGCTAAAATGGATAGGTTTTGCTGTATACCCTGATGATGATGCTAGCTGACATTGAAATGAATATAAGCTTAAAAAACATAGTGGGGCCTGACCAGTGTGGCTTAGTTGGCTGAGCGTTGTCCCATGCACCAAGAGGTCACCAGTTCGATTCCCAGTCAGGGCACATGCCCGGGTTGCAGGCTCAATACCCCGGCGAGGACTTGCAGGAGGCAGCCAATCGTGTTTCCATCTCTCCCTCTTCCTTACTTTCTCTCTAAACAATGTATATATTTTTTTAAGTGGGTATTTTTGGGACAGAATTGAAACTAAAACAAGTTTTAGAGTACTTTATGAGTATTATGTAAAATCTGTTTTTCTGGGTGTAATTATTTTTTTATGAATTAGTTACAAGGCTTTTGAGAGCTACTTCCCTTTTGTTAAGGCAGTTAAAAATCCTATTGCTGCCCGGCTGGTATGGTTCAGTGATTGAGCATCGACCCATGCACCAAGAGATCATTGGTTCGATTCCCGGACAGGGCACATGCCCAGATATTTGTGGGCCTGATCCCCAGTGGGGGAGGCATGCAGGAGGCACTCATTTGATGTTCTCTCTCATCGATGTTTCTATCTCTCTCTTCCTCTCCTTTCCTCTCTCTAAAATCAATAAAGAAAAAATACATTTTTTAAATATCCTATTGCTTTCAGCGTTGTTTTGGTTCAGATAAGCTCAGTTTACTTGGATTTTTGACACAGAATAAAGTTAAGACTGTAAAGTAAGTTTCACTAAGAGGGCAGGTATTGGGCCAAACTGTTGCCTTTAACCCTGCCTTGGCCATCCATGGCTTTCAAAAAAAAATGGGTATTTAAAAGTGGCAAAGCCCAGCTCCCTGGCCTAAAATGTGCTTGGAGCTGCCAGGTAGTAGAAACAGGTACTCTTCATAGCTATCCTGACTACTTCAAAAGTTCTAATGGGAATTATGGAACAGATAAGCATATATCTGGAAATGAAAAGGCAAATCCTATTGCTAAGTTATAGTTTCAGGACAGATTTCTAGTGATCTTCTGATTTGTGTTTTAGGTGACGGTGGGAAATTATTGATACAGATATTTTGCCTCACTACTCTAAAGATTATCTCTAGATGATGTAGAATTACAAAAAACATAAATGAAAAATAAACATGAGCCTCCAGTATTTGGACTTCAAATAATTGCTCAAGCATTTTAATTATATGATTGAAGTAGAGACTGAATGATTTAGACTACCATAACCATTGTTGCTAATTTGAATCTAATCCAAATCATAAAGCATCTCAAAAATTTTAAAGGAAAAACTTGTGAAAATGATTGTTTTTTAAATTATTTGTTTTGATGATTTTTCTATTTTAGTTGTGTGTTTAATTTTAGATTATAAATGCTTTGTGATTGATATAAGCTGTATTTATAGCCTACATTCTCTACAGTGTTGGTAAAGTACCATGAACACACTTGTGCAATAAATATTTACCAGCTGTTGGCAGTCCTTACCAAAGGCTTAGTGCCCTTCTGGCACAAATTACTGTATACTCGTCATCTTTGGCAGAAAATTGACATTGAACATCTTGGCTAGAATTCATTTGCTTAAACAAGGCAAATCTGTGAGTGTTGAATTACTGGACTCTATTTTTATCTGACAACTGAGGTTTTACTTTATATAAATTTAAATACTTTATATGATATTTATGTGCTAACCAGAGGTCAACTAAAGCTCTTAGCTTATTAGATACTCCCAATAAAATAGAGTGCTTATTTAGCTTTCATCTTTATCTCTATTCATGTTTATTAATTTCCATTATTTTTTGTTCTTCCTTTTATACAGTGAATATATTATTTTTTTTCCTTAAACTCAAAGTGAAGCTCTGTTTTATAAAGGATTAATTTACCTTTTGGTGTGATAAACAGTTCCATTTGGGGGACTCCTTACCCCATGAGAAAAAAAAAATTATTACTAGCTAATGAAAATAGAAAGTAGGACAAATTTCTTACCATAACTCTTGCTGTTAATAAAGAGGGAACATTTACTAATTGAAATAACATCTTCCTCTTCCTATCAACATTGCCATCTTTTTAGGAGATATTTTAGTACTTCATAAAACTCAGTGGACTTTTTTATTTTTATCTCTCACCCCTGATAATTAAATATGTAAACGTCCTAAGATTTCTTTTACTGCTTAATTTTCTATTACCCTTTCCCACAGTATTTTTGAACATTCTCCAGTACTTCTTGGTAATTCTGCATCTTAAGGATTTATCCATTTAAATTAAAATTAATAGTTTGGCCATCAAGTTGTCTACCTCATTTCCTTTGTTTACATTTTTAAATAAAAAAGAGGAGATCACTTACTGAGTTTGAGAAACAACATTTAAGGTCTATAAAATGTATACTATTTCATAGGTAGAGACCTAACATTGTAGTACTTGCATGAAAAGGAAATAAGAATTCTCTTTTTAAAGCAAAGGTATTTTTTCCCTAGTTTACAATATTATGATCATAACAATAAAACTTCTTCCAGGATTTTCTGCCTATTAAAAAAGAAAACGAAAAATCCCTTTCAGAAAACATGGATGCATTTGAAAAAGTGAGAACCAAATTAGAAACACAGCCACAAGAAGAATATGAAATCATCAATGCAGAGGTAGGATATTTATGACTTTTTTTTTTAACTCTGATATTATTAGTCAGGATGTAAATGAAATACCTTGTAATTTATAGACATGACCCCACATTAAAATTGGACTGCTTTTGGCCTTTAAAATATGCATTAAAACAAGTGTAGTGTGATCATTAAAATAAATTATGAAGATCAAAACCAAGATGAATTTTCAAGCATATCTTGTTAATTCTGGTTTTTGGAAACAACCAGTTCTGTTTCAAATTTTTAAAAATAATTCCAAGGATAACTTCAAATGAAAGTAAATCATATTTCTTTATTATTAGAAAAGCATTTGATTGCTCTACACTTTTTTTTTAATAAAAAGAAATTCACTTTAGTGTAATATCATGAAAGTCAAATATTTATTTGACGATTTTATGGTTACCACAATCATAAACATTCGATTGAAACAGGTTAAACATGCATGTTGAAAATTTTCAGTAAGATTGGAAAACTGAACCAAGGCTTCTAAATGAAAATTGCCACAGCCAACATCATACTGAATGGGCAAAAACTCAAGTGTTTCACTTAAGATCAGGAACAATACAGGATGTCTGCTTTCACCACTCTTATTCAACATAGTACTGTAAGTACTAGCCACAACAATCACACAAGAAGAAGAAATAAAAGGCATCAAATTGGAAGGGAAGAAGTAAACTGTAAACTTATTCACAGGTGACTTGATATTATATATAGAAAACCCTAAAGACTCAACCAAAAAAACTACTAGATCTAATAAATGAATTTGGCAAAGTAGCGATATACAAAATTAATGTTCAGAAATCAGTGGCATTTTTCTACACCAATAATGAACTGTCAGAAAGAAAACAATCCCATTTACTATTGCAACAACAATAAAAGTAAGTTACCTAGGAATAAATTTAACCAAGGAGGTAAAAGACCTGTACTTGGAAAATTATAAGATACTGAAGAAACAAATTGAGGAAGATACAAATAAGTGGAAGCTTGTACCATGTTCATAGATAGGAAAAATTAACATCAATAAAATGTCCATACTACCTAGATCTATAGATTCAGTGCAATTCCTATTAAAATACCAATGACATATCTCACAGATCTAGAACAAATATTCCAATAATATATATGGAACCACAAAAGGCCCTAAATAGCCTCAGCAATCTTGAGGAAAAAAAGCAAAGTTGGAGGTATTACACTACCTGAAATTAAACTGTTACAATCCAAAGTAATCAAAACAGCATGGTATTGGCACAAGAACAGGCATATAGATCAAAGGAACAGAATAGAAAGCACAGAAATAAATCCATGCCTTTATGGTCAATTATTATTTGACAAACGAGACAAGAATATACAATGAGATAAACACAGTCTCTTCCATAAATGGTGTGGGAAAATTGGACAGATAATGCAAAAAAATGAAACTAGACCACCAACTTACACCATACACAAGAATAAACTCAAAATGGATTAAAAACTTAAATGTAACTTGTGAAAGCATAAAAATCCTATAAGAAAACAGGCTGTAAAATTTCAGACATTTCTCATAGAAATATTTTTTGCAGAAATATCTATCCAGGCAAGGGAAACAAAGGGAAAAAATAAACAAATAGGACTGCATCAAACTGAAAAGCTTTTGCACATCAAAAGAAACCATCAAAAAAATGAAAAGAGAACCCACTGAATGGGAGAACATATTTGCCAGTGACACATCTGGTAAGGGGTTAATTTCCAAAATATATAAAAAACTAATACTGCTCAACATCAATAAGACAACCCAATTAAAAAATGGGCAAAGGACCTGAATAGACCTTTCTCTTAAGAGAACATACAGATGGCCAATAGACATGAAAAAATGCTCAATGTCAGTAGTCATCAGAGAGATGCAAATTAAAGCCACAATGAGATATCACCTCACTCTGTCAGAATGGCTGTTGTCAATAAGTCAATGAACAAGTGTTGGTGAGGATGTGGAGAAAAAGGAACCCTTGTTCATGCACTATTGGTGGGAATGCAAACTGGTGCAGCCACTATAGAAAAGAGTATGGAGTTACCTCAGAAAATTAAAAACAGAACTGCCTTTTGACCCAGTGATCCCACTTCTGGGAATGTATCGGAAGAAACCCCAAACACTAATTCAGAATAATATATGCATCCCTGTGTTCATTGCAGCGTTATTTACAATAGCCAAGATCTAGAAACAGGCCAAGTGCTCAACAGTAGATGAGTGGATAAAAAAGCTGTGGCATATTAACACGATTAAATACTACTCAGTAGTAAAAAAGAAGGAAATCTTACCTTTTGCAAAAGCATGGATGGACCTGGAAATTATTATGCTAAGTGAAATAAGCCAGTCAGAGAAAGACAAGTACCATATGATCTCACTTATACGTGGAATCCAGTGAACAAAATAAATTGACAAACGAAATAGAAACAGAGGCATGGATGCATGGAACATACTGACAGCTATCAGAGGGGAGGGGAGTTGAGAGGAAAGAATGTGAAGGGATTAAGCAAAAATACATTTTTATATGTCATATATGTAATTTTTTATATATATATATATAAAACAGACAAAGACAACAGTGTGGTAATAGCCAGAGGTACGGGAGCGGGGGGGGGGGGGGTAGTTGGAGGTGGGCAAAGGAGGGGAATATGGTGACAGAGAGAGACTTTGCTTGGGGCAATGGACACGTGGTGCAGTGTTAAGTTATATACTTGAAACCTGTGGATTCTTTGGGGTTTTTCTATGTACAACATCATGTAATCTATGAAAAATGACAGTTTTACTTCTTCCTTTCCAATTTGATGCTTTTTATTTCTTCTTGATTGTTGTAGCTAGTACTTAACAGTACTATGTTGAATAAGAGTGGTGAAAACAGACATCCCTGTCTTGTTTCTGATCTTAAGTGAAATACTTTGAGTTTTTACCCATTCAGTATGATGTTGGCTATGGACATTTTCATTTAGAAGCTGTGGTTCTAAATCTTATTGAAAATTAAAATAAATGAAAGAAAATTGCATACATATTAGAATGGAAATAGCAATAGGTTAAGAATCACAAATTCCATGGTGATGGAAAAAGTAAAGAAAAAGTCATAAATTCCAAGTTATGCCATTGTGAGCAGGTAAAGTGTCTTAAGCTACCTAAAATCATATCATCAATCAGTTGCATTTAATATATAGGTATTAGACAGGAGCACTATTCATTCTCTCAATTTCAAATTATCTATATCTGTCACCCCACAGAGGATAAAATGCTATGTGTAAAATTAAATCAAGACCATGAACAGTTGGTGGTGACAGCATATTTTAGAGGAAAGAATGTCATCAAGTTCTTGAATGGGTTTTCAGCCCAGTCTGAGCCACAGTTTTCTCATCTGCATCATTTGGATTATCTTAAAGATGCCACTTGATCTCTGTTAATTGAATCTTACTATAGGGATGTCGCATGTTCCCAAAATGTAGCTAAAGTGCTTTGTACAGTCATGAGAACTGACAGATTTCATTATGTCTTTGTTGCCTCTTTCATTTATGTTTAAAAATCTCCTTAAGTGATTATGACATATGAAAACCATTTCTTTACCACTATTTTGTAAAAAGTGATCTATTTTATATTTTTTATGTGTTCATTCATAAACTTCAATAAGTCTGCTTTTGGGAAAGATCTCATTTCTTCATCTTGACTAGTCATCAGACCATTAAATAGTTAATTAAATTATGTTTAAATCATTAAATTATTTATTATGTATTATTAAATAAACCATTTGTTTCTTTACATTGTCAGGTTAAACATGGTGGCTTTGTTTACTATCAAGAAGGTTGTTGCTTGGTTCGTTCAAAAGATGAAGAAGGTATAAGTTTTTCCTTTTAACATACTCTGATTTTTCATATTTCACGTTTTTTATAGGAAATTTGATATAAGATTCTCAAAGGTATAGAAAATATTTTTCTAGCTTATTTCTGAAATTTTGTTAAATGGCTAGTTTTTGTTTGTTTAAGATATAGTTAACAGCTACATCAAAAGCTTTGACAGGAAGAATGGAGGTAGGAACCAGCATTTTTTGAGCATCTGCTGTATCCCAGGTACTAGGCTAGGAATGATTCTTCAGTGTCATTTACATTGTCTTTCTAGGTTCTATATGGTCTATAAATACTGGACTATAGTGATATCAAATAATATCACATAAGTTGATGCATAATGTAATATTGAATAACAGAATAATATTAAGTAACTAATGCCAGTTTCTATGTAAATCAAGTTGCCATTAATGCTAAAGGAAGCCAGAATATAGCTTCTTATAGGAGAATGCTAATTTAAAACATTGAAATACAGTTTAAAATATTTTAAAGTACATCTTGTGGTGCTCTCTCCTTCATTCTTTTCTGTATGTAGCAGACAATGATAATTACGAAGTTTTGTTCAATTTGGAGGAACTTAAATTAGATCAGCCCTTCATTGATTGTATCAGAGTTGCTCCTGATGAAAAATATGTAGCCGCCAAGATAAGAACGGAAGATTCTGAAGCATCTACCTGTATAATTGTGAAGCTCAGTGATCAGCCTGTAATGGAAGCTTCTTTTCCAAATGTGTCCAGTTTTGGTAAGCCACCAACCAAAACAGTCTTTAATGTTGACAAAGCAACAGTAAGAGAATTGTTCACACTTTTGAAACATATTACTTGCCTATGTGAGTGAATGAGAATTTGAGGAGGGCCTGACCAGTTTATCCCTGTGGACTTCACACCTTGCGCTGTGCCTCTTATTCAGATCATCCCTTCTTTAATTATATATCCAGTAGCAAATTGCCCAAGGTCACTACCTAGAGAAACTTTAGAACGTGTTGAACTAACTTATTCATCAGTAGAAGTTGTGATATTTTTACTAGTAGAACCAACTTTAAATTTTATCATCGATCATTGAGGAATACATATGTTCATACTTTATTCCCCCCTTTTCATTTTTGGACATAAATTTCCCCATTGTTTAATAACTAAATGCTTTTGCAATGAATTGAAATTATACCTTATCTAACTGATCCTAAGACATAAATTTTGTACATTTTAACCTCTCAAAATCAGGATGCTCCCTGGCCGGTTTGGCTCAGCGGTTGGAGCGTCGGCCTGCAGACCAGAGAGTCTCGGGTTTGGTTCCCACTAAGGGCACGTACCAAAAAAAAAAAAAAAAAATCAGGATGCATACTATACAATGATGTCTTACAGTAACTGTCAGCCAGGTGGCAGTCATGATATAATTGTGTGAAAATCCATTGACAGGTTCTGATAAGACCAAGAAAACACTAACATTAAAGTATATTTGGTAGTCTGAGGTATCTTGTGGCTTGAAGGTGGACAGAAAACATTTAGGCAGGAGAGAAGATGATCTAATATTTCCTCAGACTTAAAGTTAGACGTTTTATATTTAAACATAATTCATCTCCTGAAAACAATTAGGACTTTACCAAAATCTTCCCTAAATATTGAACATTCATCTCCTATTTAGAAACTTTAGTGCCCTGAGACTGATAACTATTTGAAAACTTAGATTTGATGTAGTGTAGTATTTTATTCTCTGGAAAGCTCTCGGGCTTATATATAACAGGTTATATACTTGAACCTGTTAGATTTAGATTTCCATGGATAAACTTACACCTCTTTTCTCTGGCACTCAAAATTAGAATGCACTGAACCTTTTTTTTTAAAGTGTTAAGTAGGTGGCTATGTATAATTCTTTAATTATTTTTCCCAGAATGGGTCAAGGATGAAGAAGACGAGGATGTTTTATTCTATACCTTCCAGAGGAACCTTCGCTGTCATGATGTGTATCGAGCCACTTTTGGTGAGAACAAACGTAATGAACGTTTTTACACAGAAAAAGACCCAAGGTACTAGAATAATACAATTAAATCTTTTCTCTGGTTATCTAAAGTGCTGTTCTTGTGTTGACTTAAAATATTGATTTTTTTCTGGAACCAGACATACCAAGACTAAGATGAGCATAATCATTCTTTTTATTTTTAATACTTTTATTGATATTTTAGAGAGAGAAACATGAATTATGAGAGAGAAACATTGATTAGCTGTCTCCTGCATGCCCCCTACTGGGGATTGAGCCCGCAACCTAGGCATGTGCCCTGACTGGGAATCGAAATGGGACCTCTCAGTCCATGGGACGATGCTCAATCCACTGAGCCACACTGGCTGGACATAATCATTCTTTTTTATAAGTTGTTTAGATTCAAAATTAGAGTCTAGGTATATTCAGACTCCAGAGTAAACCCAAATACATCATTAGACTACAAATGATGAGTTAATATCATTCTCTCTGGACTGTGACACGTGAGAGGAGTTGTTGATTGAGCACTTAATAGGGTTGTCATATAGCGATCATAAATCGCTTATAAATTATAACTAGATACCATGGTATCTGTTACACAGAATTCACTACTCATTTCATACAGATTATCTAAATTTTAAGTTGCTTTGCTTTGAGCCATGATGGCAATTGGTCTTTAAATGTCACTTTCCCCAGTACTTTGGTAATTCCTTCTTAAAGCTAATTCTCTTTATTTCCTTGTAATCTCCAGGATACATGCCTTATATTACCACTTAAGCTTGGAAGGAAATGAGAGTAAATGTATCTGGCAAAGTCCCTTAACTGAGAGACAATTTTTTTTTTTGACATATGTGTCCTGTAACTTCATACATCATTCCACAATATAGTTTGGAGAATGTCTGAACATATTTTGCAAGAAAAAAATGGGGTTTAATTCTAAATAAATCTATGGCAGTGAAGTCAACACCCAAAACAGGAAAATTAACCCTTCATTTCAAACCTTAGAGCTGGCAAGGACCTTAAAGAAAATCTTGTACAACTCTCAGTTAATATTAATAATTTGAGGTCTAGAGAAATTACATTATTACAGTCCATAGAACTAACATTCTTGGTCCAGTAATACAGTCATTGCTTTTTTGTCTGACGATGATTATTTTTATGAGAAATTACTAAAACTATTCATATGATCCACTGTTTTATATATCACTCTTCAAGGGTATCTTTTGGAGATGATAGTTTAAGCTGGTAATTTATTTTTTATATCGATGTATGATTCTGAATAATTTTCCATCTTGTGAATAAAGCTTGAAATTGAAAAAACAAAACAAAAAATTAAAAACTGGCACAGTGAACTATACCCTTGAATAAGGTACTTGCTTGCCATATATTGTTACTGTCTAAGTTCTTAGATTAAGCAAGTTATGTATCTATTTAAGATTCTTGGAAAGTATTTGGCTTCTAGCATGCTTTTTCTTCACCATAGGGAATGAATCATAATTAAATATGTTTAAGCCTAGTTTGGCATGCAGAACCCTGATCTACAGCACAGTACTTTCCAAGAATCCTAAATATATGTATGATAACTCACTTCTATATACTTTTCAGTATTTTTACTATAAATTACTATTATAATAAGGACACATGTAAATAACATTTAAAACCATTTTGTCAGTGTGAATTAGTATACTGCTATTAAGATATTATTTGATTATATTTATTAAGAATCATAAAAGTACCCTTAATCATTAAATTAGTATTTTCATTCTTAAGAGTTTATCCTAAGGAAATATTATAAAGGTCAGGGAGAGGGACACTATCTTCATTAATATGTTGCCATTATATCCTTTATTACAGTGAAACATTAAAATCTAAATTTTTAAGAATTATGATACTTTAACTTGATAGAATGTTAGGTAGCCACTAAAAATAATGATCATAAAGAGTATGTAACTAATGTTGGGGAAGATACTGATATTATGTGATGTAAAAAAAAAATGCAGAATCTTGCTCTGGGTGGTGTAGCCCAGTTGGTTGTAGCGTCTTCCTGTACACCAAAAGGTTGCAGGTTCAATCCCTGATTCAGGCATATATAGGAGGCAACCAATTGATGTTTCTCTCTCTCCCTTCCCCTCTCTCTAAAATCAGTCAATAAGCATGTCCTTAGGTGAGGATTTAAAAAATTCACAATCCTGCCCTGGCCAGTTTTGCTCAGCAGTTAGAGCGTTGGCCTGCAGTCCAGAGAGACCCGGGTTCAGTTCCCACGAAGGGCACGTGCCTCGGTTGCAGTTTGTCCCCGGCCCTGATTGGGTTGTGCAGGTGGCAGCCACTCGATGTGTCCCTTTCATGTCGATGTTTCTCTCTCTCTCTCTTTCTCTCTCCCCCTCCCGCTCTATCTGAACAAAAAATGGAAAAATGTCCTCAGATAAGGATAAAAAAAATATAGAATCCTGCCTGACCAGTGTGGCTCATTGGTTGAGTGTCAACCCATGCACCAAGAGATTGCCAGTTCAATTCCCAGTCAGGGCACATTCCCACATGTGGGCCCGATCCCTGTGGGGCATGCAGGAGGAAGCCAGTCAGTGTTCTTTCTCATCGCTGTTTCTCTCTCTCTCTCCCTTTCCCTTCCTCTCTCTCTCTCAAAATCAATAAAGAAAAAAAAAGCAGAATCCTTAATTGCATGTATATTTTAATTATATCTATTTAAAGACATGCATGAAATACAAATAAACTATAGAAGAAGAAAATAGAAAAATTAAAATAACTATGTTGATTTTTTTTAATGTGTTAGGTTTGTGAGATTGTGAGGAATTTTCTTTCTGGCTATTGTTCAGTTTTGTTGTAAAAACTAAGAGAAAAGGAAAGTCAACGTGTACACAGAGGAAAAACAAAGTAAACTCTGTCGCTTTTTTAACCTATAATTATGTATCTCCTCTAGGAAGTTTATTTCTTCTTCTTAGCAAAAAGCCCTGTAATCTATTAATGTGATTGAGAATTAGATGATGTCTATATTTTACCTTTAAATGCATTAAAAAAAAAGATGGATTGATGATACATAGACATATGATAAAAATATATATATAGCAAGCCCTGGGTAGTGTTGTTAAGTGGTTAGAGCATTAGCCCACACACCAAAGGGTTGCAGGTTTGATTCTTGGTCAAGGACAGGTACCTGGGTTGCAGATTTGATCCCCAGACCCCACCAGGGTACATGTAGGAGGCAACCAATTGATGTGTCTCTCACATCAGTGTTTCTCTCTCTCTCTCTCTCTCTTTCTCCCTCCCTCCTTGTCTCTCCCTCCTTCCCTCTCTTCCTTCCACTCTCTCTAAAAATATCAGTGGGGAAAATATCCTCAGGTGAAGATTAAGAAAAAAATAATTATATACATAAATCTTAGTGGTGGGTATATAGGTATTTACCTTACATTCCTTTCAACTTTTCTGCATGTTTGAAACATGTTCATAGCAAAATGTTAGAGAAAAATTATTTTGAATGTTTTGGAGGATGATGAGAAAAATAATAGCAGTATTCTAGTTTACAAGCAGAATTCACTAAGGAGTTGTTTTTATTTTCTATCTACATTATATATTAACATATATACTGACCACCTGTGAGGTAGCACCATTAACAAGGTAGTATGCATTTCAAATTTATTAGATTTTCATCTCTCTCTCTTTTCCTCTCTCTCTCTGCATAGCTATTTTGTTTTCCTTTATCTTACAAAAGACAGTCGTTTCCTCACCATAAATATCATGAACAAGACCACTTCTGAAGTGTGGTTGATAGATGGCCTAAGTCCTTGGGACCCACCTGTACTTATCCAGAAGCGAATACATGGGGTCCTTTACTACGTTGAACACAGAGAGGATGAATTATACATTCTCACTAATGTTGGCGAGCCTACAGAATTCAAGGTGATACTCTATTCTCCTTAACCCCATTTAGGCTGTTAAGAAGTGTCAACACCTCCATCAGCAACATTTCTTGCTCTAAGAGTTATTTGTTTCATAGGCTTTGGGTAAAGTGTAGAAATTGATGCTGCCTTTCTTCTTGTGCTGAACCAGTCCCATTTGAATTGGGCCTACAAAGGATACTAAATGAAACATATTCTACCCTGATTATATCAGTTATCAAAGCCAAACTTAGTAGCTTAAAAGAACAAACTTTTATAAATTCATGGTTTTGTGAGTTAGCAGTTTGGATCCCTCTCAGTGAAGCGGTTCTGTTGGTCTCAGCTAGGTTCACTGATGCTTCCACAGTCAGCTGCCTGTCAGTCCCCTCACTCAAATGTCCACTGACTGGCTGTCAGCTAACCACTGGCAACCCAGGAGGCTAATCTGGACTCATTCAGTGGTGATGGTCACACCTCAGCCCTGATGCAGTTCTTTCAGCTCTTCATAAAACAGTCAAGAATAGTATATCTAGTTTTCAGTCACACCTCAGCCCTGATGCAGTTCTTTCAGCTCTTCATAAAACAGTCAAGAATAGTATATCTAGTTTTCAGTGGTTTCATCTGTGGATTTTGGATTTTGTAGTCATCATGTTTTGTTACCTATAGCTCTTCTAACTTTGTTCCACACAGCTAATGAGAACAGCAGCTGATACACCTGCTATCATGAATTGGGATTTATTTTTCACAATGAAGAGAAATACCAAAGTCGTAGACTTGGACATGTTTAAGGATCACTGTGTTCTGTTCCTGAAGCACAGCAATCTACTTTATGTTAATGTGATTGGTCTGGCTGATGATTCAGTTCGGTCTCTAAAGGTATGTTTAATTATCAAAAGACAATGCTGTTAATCAAAACACATGCAGTTTAGCTTCACCAGAACATCAAATTTTTAATAATTAGCAATGTACTTTTTCTTAAAATAATTAAATGGAATTTAGCATACTAGGTCTTTATCAGATTTAGGAGGTATGTCTCTTTCTATATATCACACATTTCTACAGCTGTAGATACAGTAAGAACTCAAGCCAACTTGGCAGCTAGTACCTAACCACTGTCTGCTGCTCCATCCCACCCCAGTGGAGATAGTCATGCCCACGGTGTTTGTGCCACTACATGCTTGCATCGGCATCATCTCTCTGCCATTTTTCTTACCCAGGGCATCAGGAAGGGTGAACTTTGGTTTCTTTCAATAGTGGGGTGGCAGTCTCCACTACAGTACAGCTGTGATGCTGGCACATCTCCTTGGCAGGCTGACTCACTGATATTGCCTGTCTGTGGCTGCCAGGAACAATTATCTGCCTCCACAGGTGAACTTCCAATGGCACCCTGTTGCCCAGTTTTAAAGCAGCATTAACATGTGACTTAAGACACCAGGCACTGAAGGGAAGAGGAGAGGCCTCCATTTTGCTTGACATGGAAGGAGTTGCGGAGCCAATTGACCAGCTGGCATAAACCACATACACCTCCCTAACTGCAGGGTTGGAGCAACTGCTGTTAAAATGCAGTTCCAGTGAACTGGCTGTTTAATGAACTTCTGTGTGCAAAGTACTGTATTAGGCACTCTAGAGTGGAAAGACAGCAGGACAAAATATGTGGCCTTAAGGAGAATATAATTTATCATGAAATTTGACTACTACACAAAGAATAGGTATAAGGTGAATTTTAAAAAGTGGTATGAAGGGCCCTGGCCGGTTTGGCTCAGCGGTTAGAGCGTCAGCCTGCGGTCCTGAGAGACCCGGGTTCGGTTCCGCTAAGGGCGCGTACCTCGGTTGCAGTTTGTCCCCGGCCCTGGTCGGTTGTGCGGGTGGCAGCCACTCGATGTGTCCCTTTCACATCGATGTTTCTCTCTCTCTCTCTTCCTCTCTCTCCCTCCCACTCTACCTGAACAAAAAATGGAAAAAATGTCCTCTGGTGAGGATAAAAAATAAAAATAAAAAAGTGTTATGAAGAATGAAGGAGATATAAAATCACTATTAGGATACCACAGTAATAGTTGTAGGCCAGATCCACCAATGGATGCTAAAATGAGCGGGTGTATTAGGGATAAATAGATTATTTTCCTAGTCTTCATTGGAGGACTAGTAGCGCCCAGAAAATATTTATTTATTTAAATTTTTTTTATTTTATCCTCATCCAAGGACATTTTTCGATATTTCGTTCAGATAGAGTGGGAGAGAGAGAGAGAGAGAGAGAGAGAAACATCAACGTGAAAGAGACATATCGAGGTTACGACTTCCGGTCAAGATGGCGGCGTAGGTAAACATGGTAATCGCGTCCTCCCACAACCACATCAAAGTTTCAACTAAACTACAGAACAACCATCATTCAAAACTGCCTGAAATCAAGCTGAATGGAAGTCGTACAACTACGGAATAAAATAAAATTTTAAAAAGCAGCTACATCCAGACTGGTAGGACGGGCGGCGGAGCGAGGGGTGGTGGCGCGGCAAGACGGGCTGGTCCCACACCCAAGTGTGGTGGATAAAAATCAGGAGGCTCCCGCGGCTGGGAAAGTCCTTCCTGAGGACTGAGGGGTCCCCGTCCCACACCAGGTGCCCCGTTCAGGGTTCCAGTGCCAGGAAGAGAATCCCCATAACTTCTGGCTGGAAAAACCAGCGGGAACTGAGGCTCAGGGAAGCTGACGCGGCTGGAGCCCCAGGCAGCTCCCTAAAGGTCCCGCGCACGGACTTATCGGACTCTCTCCCTCTAAGCTTGGAGGGGAGGCAGCTCGAGGGGCGCCAGAGACATACAGGGAAGAACTGAGCTGTTTGGCACTGGAGCGAGGGCTGGAGAGGGGGCTTCCTCGGGGACAAACGTGCTGTCAGAGGCCTTTGTTCCTTTGGTGAGCCCTTCCCTGGGGCGGCAGACAGAAGCCATATCTGGGACTCCAGCAACCTGGCTCACACTGGTAGCCCTGCCCTGCTGATTTCCTGAGGCCCCGCCCCGCCCCACACAACTTTCAAGCCCACCCAAGCGGTTGCCACTTGCTTAACCATAGGATTGGCCTGTCTTGGATCCTGCTTCAGGTTTTCCTAAATTCTTTCAAATAAGCAGCATCTGGTCTCAGCTAGCTCCATACCTCTCATTAAGTAATACACAGAAACAAACACAGGGAGGCATCCAAAATGAGGATACAAAGAAACAGGTCCCAAATGAAAGAACAGAACAAAACCCCAATAAAAGAACTAAGTGAAATGGAGATAAGCAACCTAACAGATGCTGAGTTCAAAATACTGCTTATAAGGATGCTCAATGAACTTAGTGAGAACCTCAGTGAACTTAGGGAGGGCCTCAAGAGCATAAAAAAGGACCAGTTATAAATCATGGATACACAGTTAGAATTAAAGGAGGCATTAACTGAAATAAAGAATAATTTACACAGCTTCAATAATAGAGTATGTAAATCCAAGGAGCAAACCATCGATTTGGAATATAAGGAAGCAAAAAATCCCCAATCAGAACAGCAAAAAGAAAAAAGAATCCAAAAAATGAGGATAGTGTAAGGAGCCTCTGGGACAACTTCAAGCGTGCCAACATTCGCATCTTGGGGGTGCCAGAAGGAGAAGAGAGAGAACAAGAAATCGAAAACCTGTTTGAAACAATAATGGCAGAAAACTTTCCTAACTTGGTGAAGGAAACAGACATACAAGTCCAGGAAGCACAGAGAGTCCCAAACAAGATGAACCCCAAGAGGCCCACACCAAGACACATCATCATCAAAATGCAAAAGGTTCAAGACAAAGAGAGAATCTTAAAAGCAGCAAGAGAAAGACAGCTAGTTACCTACAAGGGAGTACCCATTAGGCTGTCAGCTGATTTCTCAAAAGAAACTTTGCAGGCCTGAAGGGAGTGGCAAGAAATATTCAGAGTGATGAAAACCAAGAACCTACAACCAAGATTACTCTATCCTGCAAAGCTGTCATTTAGAATCGATGGCCATATAAAAACTTTCCCAGACAAGAAAAAGTTAAAGGAGTTCATCACTACCAAACCGTTATTATATGAAATGATGAAGGGTCTTTTTGAAGAAAAAGATAAAATGTATGAACAAACAAAATGGCAATGAATACATATCTATCGACAATGGAATTTACAAACAAAATGAACAGGAAGAACAGAAACATTCTCATAGATACAGAGAACATTTTGTTGGTTGCCAGTTGGGAAGGGGGTTGGGGGAATGGGTGAAAAAGGTGAAGGGATTAAGAAGCACAAATTCATTGCTAGACTGACAAACCGCAAAGGGAAAGGGGTTGGGGGGGTGGGAAGAAATAAACCAAAGAACTTATATTCATAACCAATGGACACAGACAATAGTTTGGGAAAAGGTGGGAGGGGGGCGGGAGTGGGAAGGGGGGGGTCAATGGGGGAAAAATGTGGAACATCTGTAATACATTTTACATCCAACAATAAAGATTTGAAAAAAAAAAAGAGGTTGCCACCCACACGACCCAACCAGGGCCGGGAACAAACTGCAACCGAGGTACGTGCTGTTAACAGGAACCGAACCTGCGTCTCTCCAGACCGCAGGCCGATGCTCTAACCACTGAGCAAAACCCACCAGGGCCAAAAAATAGTTATTAATTACAAAAGGAAAAACAGCATTTTACAGTAAAAAACCTGGCAAGAGATCATGGTTGACATTATAAGTAATAAGATCTGTTGACATGTACTCCTCTCTGATATTCTTGCTAAAAGTGTATAACCTCAATTTGTTCATGAAGAAACATCAGACAAATCCAAATAGAAAGACATTCTACCATATAATTTCCCTGTAAGTTTCTTAAAGTCAAGGAAAGACTGAGGAAGTTTCACAGATTGGAGGACACTAAGGAGACACAACTAAATGCAATGTGGAATCAATCCTAAATTGGATCCTCAGACAGAAAAAGGACATTAATGGAAACATATGTAGGTGAAATTGAATAACATCAATAGTTTAATTAATAGTAAAAAATAATAATGAAATAAATAAATGAGTGGTATCGAAAACACAAAATGTGCTGTGGGGCCCAAAGGAGAGGAAGAGGGACCAAGAAAGCTTTTTTTTTTCCTGATTGATTTTAGACAGAGAGGAAGGGAGGAGAGAGAAAGATGGAAACATCGATGAGGGAGAACATCAATTGGCCGCCTCCTACACGTCCCCTCTTTTGGGGATTTGGGCCACAACCTGGGCATGTGCCCTGACCGGGAATCGAACCAGTGACCTCTTGGTGCATGGGTCAACGCTGAGCCACACTGGCTGGCCCAAGAAAGCTTTTTATAGGGGAAGTATAATTTGAGATAAACCAAAGAGGATAGATTAGATTTTGATGGGTAGCGGGGGAATGATATTCTAGGATGAGAAACTCTACCAAATGAAGCGCTAAGCTGGAGAAGTTCAGAAAATGTTCAGGAAACTGCTAGTAATTCTGTTATATTGAAGCAGAATAAATTTCTGGAGGATGAAACTATGATTTGACATTTTTTTATTGCCAATATGATGAATTTATGCATAAATTATGAAGAGGGGGAACATTTGACATTTGGGGGTAGGGGAATGATTTGAGGAGTAAGCTGTACTTCATAAGGTTATCTGGCAGCCACATTAGGGTACACTGAAGCAACAAGATAAGGCAGGGAGATTACTTTTGAGATTGTTATAATAGTATAAAATAAGAAATTACAAGGGCCTATAGCAACCAAAATTTTCCGGCTACCTCATAAAGTCAAATGATCTAATGTAATGTCTGGTGTCTTTGAGGGCTGTTACAGTCATCCTAAAGCAAAAATGGTGATTTTACTTTAGTGAATTTTTATTACTTTTATCTACTGGATTCAAAGTGTCTTCTCACTTGCAAATTGATGCCAAATTCAAATATCTTTAACTGGGAAACTTACTGCAATCTATGTGAGTACAGAAAAATATATACAGTGATACCTCGGTTCTCGAACGCCTCGGTTTTCGACCAAATCGGGATTCGAGAAACTTTTGTCTCGGAATCCGAACAAATATTTGGAACTCGAACTTCCGAGATGAGCCGAGTTGAGCCGAATGGCGTTCATTCGGCCCAGCGCGCCTTGCTTGCGTCATCAGTGTGAGTGCAGAGAGAGAGTCACGCTTTGTGGAGTCACGCTTTCCTATTGGGTTTCATTGCTTCGGTTCTCGAACAATTCGGTTCTCGACCGTCCTCCTGGAACGAATTATGTTCGAGAACCGAGGTATCACTGTAATTTCTAACAGTGCATTATTACAACAAAATTCTGTCAAGAACATTAGGAGTGTCATGAGTTTACTCTGCTATAAGATTTGACTTCTAAGTAAATATGACCTTTTATTATTTTTTGTAAGTATTTTTATTCTCCATAGTTTGAACTTCCATTAGAACAAACACCATGTCTTTAATTTATTCTATATCCTCTACTTTATTCCCTAACCCATCCCAGCCTATAGTACCTAGTGTGCCATGTATCATGTTCTGAGTCATCATCACATGAAGTCAAAGACTGTAGTATATACCAGGTGCTACTTAAAGAGAATTTCACAGATCAGAACCTTTTCATGAACTGCATAACACTGATTAATATGCATAGACAGTGCCATATACAAAGGACAGAATCTTTAAGCCAAATCACAATTGGGTTTTAAAGTATTTCTGTTGTAACATCTCTGCCCAGTGGGCACTTGACTATAATATCTTTTTAAACTCAATCTCAGCAATAGAAATGTAAAACCCTTAATATACTTGCCTCCTATCATTGGTCATCATCTTATCAGTATTTCTTGGTAATATATATATATTTTTTTATAAATTGAAGTTATGGCCCACACCCATGTGGCACAGTTGGTTGGGGCATTGTCTCGTGCACTGTGAGGTCATGGGTTCAATTCCCAGTCAGGACATATACCTAGGTTGCAGGTTCAATCCCTGGTTGGTGTGTGTGCAGGAGGCAACCAGTCATGTCTCTCTCATATTGATGTTTCTTTCTCTCTCTCTCTTTTCCTCCCTCTCTAAAATCACTAAAAAGATAAAACGAAAAAAAAATTATGATAGTTTAATTGGTTATGATATTTAATTTAAGCAAATTGGAAAAATTTTTGCTTTGTGCTTACCTCAATGTATTTGATGAAGTATGCATACTTGGGCCGATTTTCTTTCAGCATTTACATCTTAATCATTCTTTTTGGGGGGAGGTCTTATTCTCTTTAATCATTCTTTCCATGCAATGACTGTGATTTGCTGGTAAAATACTAAAGTTGAACCTATTCTGTCAATTATGTGGAACTATCTATACACATGTCACCTGGCCAATGTATAATTATTCTTGGGTGCTGTCCATTAATATACATGAGTGATACTGCAGGCTTATACAAATGGGAAATGTGCCTTAAGATACTCTTGAGCCCTGGCCGGTTTGGCTCAGTGGTTAGAGCGTCGGCCTGCGGTCCTGAGAGACCCAGGTTCGGTTCCCACTAAGGGCGCGTACCTCTGTTGCAGTTTGTCCCTGGCCCTGGTCGGTTGTGCGGGTGGCAGCCGCTTGATGTGTTCCTTTCACATCGATGTTTCTCTCTCTCTCTCTCTGTTCCTCTCTCTCCCTCCCACTCTACCTGAACAAAAAATGGAAAAATGTCCTCGGGTGAGGATAAAAAAAAAGATACTCTTGAGATCGTTAATGCCTTATTTCTGCATCAGCGGGACAGACTTTTAAAAGTCTACAGCCTTGGAACAGTTTTTGTTGTGAATTAAAACTTTAACCTGGTCCATTAGTTTAAGAAATACTCACAAAAGACTTTTTGATTTATTGTAACCACTTGGTGTAAAACTAAAACAGCTTAGTACATGGATCACACGGAAACTGTTAAAGTCTCACCGAAGGACAGAAAACCTTGTACCTCTGTGGGCTGAGGACCCTGTGCCCTCAATCGGGGCCTGGTTACAAGGTTAGCAGCAGTGCGTCTTTGTTTCCCACTAAGGGCTCAATTTGCTCACCTCGTTTGTGCTACTAGATTTCCCAACTTTCATATTACATTTTTCTTTCTGATTATGGCTTGCATTTAAATATATTATCCTTGAAAATCATCCTCAATCTGAAGAGAATAAATTGGGAACTCTTGTAAAGAAATATCGCAAATGTATGTCCTTGTTAGTGTTTCAGGGAAATAGATGTTTTGGATTAATTACAAAAAATTTGCTCTGGAAACATAAGCTCTTTGGCTGTAGTTTCTACAAGTTCAATGGTGCACTCTTTATGCACACATCCCAACTACACTTTCTGAATAGTGCCCACCTGTGACTTTGTTGTGCCAAGACCTCTGATTTTCTAAGGAATTTACTCTTTCTACAATTACTCAGGAAAAGAAAGGTAATTTTCTTTTAATGTTCTGACTCTCGGTACCATTTCTAAGACACTGTCAGCCTGCTTACCAGAGTTCTTTAAAAGGTGTAAGAAGGATGTTAGTGGAAGGCTAGAGGCAGGACCCTGCTGCTCTGGGAGAATAAATTTTTATTCCTCTCCTTTTTTTCTTAAAGTTAAGAATCTTAATCATAATAGCTCAGAGTCTTTCAGAGTGAATGTGCGGGAATGGTTTTGTTCTGCACAATGGTTAGCCTGGGAGCTAAAGTTAGAAATAAAGTGTAACTGCTTTAGTGCTGCTGAGCCAGTTTGTAGCCCTGGAATAATAATTGTCATCACTGTGGCTGTCCAGGTAGCTGAGTGTGGGCTGGTGGGTAAATTACTAAAAATACATGTCAGAGATTTCATGCTCTATGAGAACAGAGATCTCGGAGATATCACTCAGTTCTGAATTACTATTTGATTTGCTCTTGATCGTTTTGCTGTTATTTATTGCCCAAGTTTAAACCCCAAAATAAACTTTATTAGAGATTTCATGTAATTCGGAATCATGAAAAACCATTTTCCTATCATTTTTCCTTATTTTGTTGGTCATTAGTATAGAGTTGTATTTGTTTTTTACTTGAAATGTATTCTGTCGTGCTAAAGTAATCTTTAAGTGAAGCATTATGTGATAGTGAAGAGAAGTAAACTAGATGTTCACATTGTCTTGTTTAGAGCAGACCTAGAAATTTAATTAATGATACTTAGTGTCTAGATAAAGAGTAAAACTAACTTTTATTTCTTTAGCTCCCTCCATGGGCCTGTGGATTCATAATGGATACAAATTCAGACCCAGAGAACTGTCCCTTTCAGCTTTGTTCTCCAATACGTCCCCCAAAATATTACACATATAAGTTTGCAGAAGGCAAACTGTTTGAGGAGACTGGGCATGAAGACCCAATCACAAAGACTAGTCGTGTTTTACGTCTAGAAGCCAAAAGCAAGGTGAGTCTTTGTAGTCTCCACTGTCAGCCCCTATTTACTGCAAGCCTACATTTGTCAAGTATTGTGCAATTGCTGGGTTTACAGTTTCATAAAGTGGATCGCAGACCAGTAAGACCCAAATGATTATAGGGGGTATGTGGATTTTTCTTTCATTTTAAGACTCATGTATTTATTTTAATGTGGATTAGAAAATTTATAACTAGCACATGAAGCTCTTTGTTTCAACAAATGCAAAAATAAAATGTATGAAGTTTAAATGACTACTTTTCAGTCCATTTCCTGTACCTCTTAGGAAAAAAATCATTGTTAACCATTTCGTGTATCACCTTCACTATTGTTAACCATTCACTGTATTTTGGTCAACAAAATATGTATGTTTGGGCTTTGTTTTATTTACAAACATGGGATTTATACTAGCCTGTCAAAATATTGTAATTATACCCCAAATGGGCGCTAAGTTATTGGAGAGCCAAGCGACTCTAAGAAGGGAAGCGCCTGCCGAATGGGCTGCTGTAACTTCACAGGCATTTGTGCACTGCTGGTGAACTCTGGGACCCAGCCCATTGCAGGACTTGCTACTGTCCTGACCTCTTCCTTTTCGTAAGTTTGCAGCCAGCTTGTCCAATGGAAGTTGGGGAGGAGGCAAGGAGATGAAAAGACTAAGGTTATTTTATAGAAAGGAATCGACATCGATTTGTAAGAAGGAATCATACTGAGGAGTGAAAATTCAGTTACACTGTCGTAACAAGTTGCATCTAGAATAATGAGAGGAAGAGTCCACCTTGTTGGATAACACTCTGGTGTCCCAAAGTGAACTTTTCAAATGAGAATGAAAATGGGGAGAATGGCTTGGTTATATTCTTTTCCTTGTGTAAACTAGTGTTATTTCATTAGTTTCTGTAAGCAGGGTGAGAACCAACTTTCCCACCTCTTTCCTGTGAAAGGAGTATCAGAAGTAGTTCAGATTATCTTAATTTTATCTGTCCAGAGAGTGCCACGTTTCAATTAATTGGGATTGATGAATGTGAACTACATTGGGGAATATTTACTTGCCCTAAAAGTAACATAGGTGTTAAAATTTATAAAACTTACTTTTAAAAATTTTAAAGGTAAAGTTCAATAGGCCTTTGAAGAGGATGTGCATTGGTATCAGTAAGGTCAGTATGAGATTTCAGGTACTAATGTTTGAGAATTCTATCTGTAGAGGAGAGAAAATTGGGCTGTTAAATCTTCTTTAGTTCACCCATTTGTAAATATCTAAAGATGAGAAGTGCCGGTATATAGCCCTGGGTATAGGAAGAATGCTGTGCTGGTATGTCTAACCTTCACAGGTACTTGGGCTTGTCCTGAAAGAAAAGTTACAGTAGTACTGGGTAGTGAAGAATTCTTTAGAATCACTTCACTGTCACGAAAAGCAGCTTTTAATAAAATGTATTCAAATCATAGTCTTGCTGCTCTTTTCTAGTTAATATTATAAGTCAGCCATGTAGCTGAAAGTAAGTGTTGTGATGGATTTTAGAGACCATAACTCTTTGTCTTAATTAAATGAAGTTTCTGCTCAGTGTCAATATGCAGGACATAAAACAGGATAAAATAGTTTTAAAATACTATTCACATCTTCATTTCCAGGATGGAAAATTAGTGCCAATGACTGTTTTCCACAAAACGGATTCTGAGGACTTGCAGAAGAAACCTCTCCTGGTGCATGTATATGGAGCTTATGGCATGGATTTGAAAATGAATTTCAGGCCTGAAAGAAGGGTGTTGGTGGATGATGGATGGATATTAGCATATTGCCATGTTCGGTGAGTTGGCACTTTTAGCCTGGCATATGAGTGCTAGAGCACTGTGACAGGTGTCACAATAACAGTGTATCAGGAGCAAAAGTTTGTTTTTCTATTTGTATTGTTTAATTTATGTGTTCCACCCTGGCCAGTTTGGCTCAGCGGTTAGAGCGTCGGACTGCGGTCCTGAGAGACCCGGGTTCGGTTCCCGCTAAGGGCGCGTACCTCAGTTGCAGTTTGTCCCCGGCCCTGGTCGGTTGTGCGGGTGGCAGCCACTCGATGTGTTTCTTTCACATCGATGTTTCTCTCTCTCTCTCTGTTCCTCTCTCTCCCTCCCACTCTACCTGAACAAAAAATGGAAAAAAAAATGTCCTCGGGTGAGGATAAAAAAAAAAAAAATTTATGTGTTCCTAAACTTATACTGGTGGAACTTGATTTGATAACACTGGTTGATCCAAAAAGGAGAAGAATACATTTTTTTAGGATTTTGTACCAGAGTTTTAGACTACCACCAATCTCTTTACTTATTTAGTAGCATTATTATTTCCATTTAATTCTCCTGAGTTTAAGTTTTTCTAAAATAGCAAACTCCTTTTTCCACTCTAACTTCTATTTTATTTTAACTGTTTTTTTTAATCCTCACCCGAGGATATTTTTATTTTTCCATTTTTTGTTCAGATAGAGTGGGAGAGAGAGAGAAACATCGATGTGAAAGGGACACATCGAGTGGCTGTCACCCGCACTACCCAACCAGGGCCGAGGACAAAGTGCAACCGAGGTACGTGCCCTTAGCGGGAACCAAAGCCAGGGTCTCTTTGTACCATAGGCCGACGCTCCAACAGCTGAGCCAAACTGGCCAGGGCTATCTTAACTGTTTTCAAGACACAAATATTACTTTTGTTTCTGCTTAAAATCCTTCACCACCTCCCTATCTTCATGATAAAATCCAAACTTCTCAGTATAGTATTTAACATCCTAATGATCTTATCTGTTATGGCATCTGTCATCCCACCATCCCCGTCCTGCACAGCCAGCCTTGCTGTGTCCTTTAGGTGACAAGCCCTGTTCCCTCTGTGCCCCTGCACATGCTGTGTCTTGATGCCTTCCCTTACTTTGCCTTCTGGGAACTCATATTCTTCCTTCAAGACTCAGCTTAAGTATTATCTCTGTCGTAAGCATTCGTGTTCCTGACTCACGATATGCCGCTAATCTGACAAGTGGATGGTCTTTCCTCTGCTACTGTGACACCTTAAATACACTTGTGTGATAGTAGCAACCACGTTGCTTGGTAACTGTTTTCTTTCCCCACAAAATTATGATCTTCTCTAGGCAGAGGATTTTTGCTTATTTTTAATTTTAAGGCCTGCATTTAGCACACTGCCTAGCAAATAGTAAGCAGGCACTCAAAACATGTCTGTTGAATCAATTTTTGATTGTCTATTATTATCAGGATAGCAAACTTTTTGTCTTAAGAACTAAATAGTAAACATTTCAGGCTTTGCAGCCCACATGTGGTCTCTGCTGCATATTCCTGGTTGGTTTTCTTTCTCAATGTGAAAATCATTATTAGCTCAAGGGCCATACAAAAACAGGCCTGCGGGTATATTGGGCCCACAGGCAATAGTTTACTGACCTCTGACCTATATTATTATTTTTTCCCCACTAAAATCTTTTTGCCCTTTAATTTCAGGGGTGGTGGTGAATTAGGCCTCCAGTGGCACGCTGATGGCCGTCTAACTAAAAAACTCAATGGCCTTGCTGACTTAGAGGCTTGCATTAAGACACTTCATGGCCAAGGCTTTTCTCAGCCCAGTCTAACAACCCTGACTGCTTTCAGTGCTGGAGGGGTGCTTGTGGGAGCATTGTGTAATTCTAACCCAGAACTCCTGCGAGCTGTGACTTTGGAGGTGAGTACACTCTCTGTCTCGAACTGTTTACAGAATGGGGACGCATGAAGCCCTAGGCTGCCCTACGAAAAAAATTTCTGTTTTACCATAGCATATGAGTATAACAAAGCTTTTAAATTTTAAACACAGAATTGTAGCTCTGGGCGAAATTCTAAAGTTATTTTAATCCAACTATTTACTCTTTACTTACTCTTCCCTGACAGTGTTCTTTATTAATGTTTAAGAATATTAGTTGCTATCCCTGTTGATCATTTTGATTTGTAAGAACATTGAGAGCTGATGGAAGAGACAAAGCATACGTGACTCAGCAGTTCCAGGAAGTGAGGCAGAGCACACTGCGACTGCAGTGCACAGAATTTTGGACTCTTGCCCATCAACATTTTAATCCTGGACTGAGGGGCTCTCTAGTTTTAGATACTCCATTTTTAATTATCCTCAGGGATAGTTTTTCCATACCTCCATTGAACTATCTTGTTCTGAAAATACTTGATAGTCTCCTGGTCCCCAAAATTATGAAGTTATAGCAGTTCATTTCACCTCTGTCATTCTCCTGCTTTTTGGTTAGACGCTCTAGAAAATAAAATGACTGGGATGAGCAAACCAAATTATTTTTAGATTTTGTTTGTGTGTGTGTGTGTCTGTTTTGAGGGTGTGGGTTATACACTATGGGTTTGTATTAAGTAAGTAAGTGTTAAGTAATCCTGAACTGTACATCTACTTTTTAAATAGAAATACTAACTATACTAAATAGGGGGGAAAAAACCTATCTACAAAGATAATAATGGCAGAATTATTTACAGTATAAAGAAAATGCAACTAAGCTTTGACTTTTAAAATTAGGAAGGAAATCAGAAATGTATGTGTAAGAATATTTACTCTAGCCCTGGCCAGTTTGGCTCAGCAGTTAGTGTCGGCCTGCGGTCCAGAGAGACCCGGGTTCGGTGTCCGCTAAGGGCACGTACCTCGGTTGCAGTTTGTCCCTGGCCCTGGTTGGGTCGTGCGGGTGGCAACCACTCGATGTGTCCCTTTCACGTCGATGTTTCTCTCTCTCTCTCTCCCCCCTTCTCTCTATCTGAACAAAAAATGGAAAAATGTCCTTGGGTGAGGATAAAAAAATAAAATTAAAAAAAAAAAAAGAATATTTATTCTACATTGCTTATAATAGTGAAGAATTGAAATCTACTTATATATCCAACAATAGAGTATCTGTATGAGTCAGAGTTCTTAATTAGAAGCACCAGAACCAACTCCTGACTAATTTAAGCAGAAAAGGGATTTATTAAAGCATATTGGGTGAGGGTAGGTATAGAACCCGTCTTAGAGGCTGCACATCCAGAAACATGTCCAAAAACATACCATTAAGCTGTCCTATGAACCTTTCACTGCCACCACTGCTGGGCACAAGTCACCTCATACTGCCAGTGTTGCTTCTAGAAACTTGATATAGCCATGGCAGTTTTCCCAGAATAAATTCTCTATGGTTCCTACTTCTTTGAGTCACTAGCTTCCCATCAGTTTGGAGCACGCTGTGTCTGATTGGTAGACCCAAGTCATATGTCTGCTCCTGTGCTGCAGGGGAAGCTGGGAAAGGAACTCTCTGGCATTTAGTACCTCTCCAGTGAGAGGCAGGCTGTTGGGATACTCTAAATGCAGAAAAGGAGTTCAGATGCTAGGCAGCCAAAAAGAATTGTATGTTCCCGCTACACATGATTAATGTTAGTACGAGAGAAAGCTGAAAAGCATGCTAACAAGACCATAAGGCCAAGTGAAAAAAAGCAGCTGCCATTTTATGAAATGTTTTAACACTAGTTATAAGACAATGAGTGATTTTCTCTTCTTTCAACTTGGATATTTTCCAGGTTTTCTTCATTTAGCATTTATCTTTTATTTTTTATGTAAAATGTCAACTAGTGAGGAAGAGTATTCATGTGTTGCTGTGTTTTTATTTTTAATTTTGGTAAAATAATAAAATCAACCTCTCCATCAGTTTTTAGTGTACAATTCAGTAGTGTTAAGTACATTCACACTATTGTGCAACCAATTTCCAGAACTTTTCATCATGCAGAACTGAAATTCTGTACACATTCTGTAACAACTCTCCAGTTCCCTCTACCCTGCCCCTGGGAACCCCATTTTTCTTTCTGTCTCTGTGAATTTGACTAAGGTTTCTCCTGTAAATGGAGTCATACAACTCTGTCTTTTTGTAACTAGTTAATTTCACTTAGATAATGTTCTCAAGGTCCGTTAATGTTGTGGCATGTGTCAGAATTTCTGTCTTTAATAGCTAGCTATCCTAATGGATATGAGGTGGTAGTATTTATTACTTTTACATAAAAATGTATATATATTAGCAAGAATTGTGAAATCAGAAGATAAACCCTTTCATTATATATATATATAAATGTCACTTAAGGGGTCTGAATGTAAATCAGAGGCACTGGGTAAGGACTGAGGAATCCGTGTGGCCCCTGGAATCTGTGGCTTCCTGAGCTTGTTCTCTCGTGTCAGCATGTCTGTTCATAAAGTGTATTTTCCTGAAACTCATTTACCAACTTATTCGTCGAAGTTGAAGTCTCTTTGGCTTTTTTTTAGGCACCTTTCTTGGATGTTCTCAACACCATGATGGATACTACACTTCCTCTGACATTAGAAGAATTAGAAGAATGGGGGAATCCTTCGTCTGACGAAAAACACAAGAACTACATAAAACGTTATTGCCCCTATCAAAATATTAAACCTCAGGTAGTGAAAGACGGTTACGATATTACTATCCGAAGTGACAAAGAAGAGAATCAAAAGGATCCTTACCTGAGCTGAGGCCAGAGTTCAGTAGACCTTTAGATTATTTCTACTTACAATACCCAGACACCTCTCAGCACCGCCTCTGCTCATACTCCATGTTTGTGTCAAAAGGGTCATGGTCTCTCTAGTTAAGAAAAGATAACAAGCAGTTTAGTACTGTAATACTGTAGATCTCTCAAGAATATCAAATAAGAAAAATAAATCTAGCACTTAGGGGTAAAACTTGGAGGTAATTATATTCCATAGTCTATAAGGTGGAAAGGGGCCATAAACAATAATATACATTCTTTGTGTATTGATCTTGCAGCATTATCCTTCAATGCACATCACAGCTTATGAAAACGATGAACGTGTACCTCTGGAAGGAATTGTAAACTACACTGAGAAACTCAAGGAAGCCACTGCGGAGCATGCTAAGGACAGTGGTGAAGGTAGGCGTCCACCTAGAAGCAGGGCACATAGCTAAATGGACTGTTGCCTTTAGCATACCGCTCAGAGTAATACATTTTATGTACAAACCAAATCATCGCCCCATGATTTTGGACAAATAATTGTTTTTCCTATGTTGGCTACTAATTGAAGCATACATTGTAACTATAACCTCCTCACCTTTTTTCAAAGCACAATATGAAAATAAGGTAGGCAAGGCACACAAAAAAGTAAATTTAAATATCAAAAATAAATTGAAGATATACCATCATACAGCCATTCATTCATTTAATATTAATGGAGCCATTATTTTTGGGAACCTCAAAAAACAAAACAGATTCTAAAGTTTCTGCTCTGGAGCTTCAGTTCCCAAACTAGCAGCTTTAATTTTCTCTAGATCTTTGTATTTTATTGAACAGAGCTCTTACCTTTTTTCCTTGCCGAGACCTTCAGGACTCGGTGGGAGGGGCCCACATTCAAGCGTTCAGGGGGCTGCGCTGAGTCCTGCTCTGGGTCTCACTCTCACCCCTGCTGTAGTTGGTGTTTCCGAGTCTCCAGACGCAGACTCCACAGGGCGAGTTGGCTGCCTCCTCGGGCCGCTGCCTTCCCCGTGTGACCTGCAGTCTCTCAGCTTCCTCGCCACTGGTCCTCCTCCTGCTTTCAGTTTCAGGAACGTGTCTTCTGTTTGCCGCCCCCCCGCCCGCCCCATTTCTTTGTTGGTAGTGATGTTGTATGTGTTTTTCCTTTACTAGTATTTTAATAGGTTACTTAGAGAGGAGAAAGGGGCCTCAGTTGGTCAGAAACTTTCTAATTGTTTCATACGTTAACTCTTTCAGGCTATCAGGCCCCCAATATTATTTTAGACATTCAGCCTGGAGGCAATCATGTGATTGAGGATTCTCACAAAAAGGTATGTTGTGCGGCCCCTCTCAGTTGACAGATCCCAGGTAGAGACGTGCTGTATCCCACATTTCAGTGGTTGTGGCGGGGCTCACGATGGTCAGGTCTGTGACTGAGACGCAGGAGCGTAAGGAAGAACACTGAGCCAGTGTTAAACAGAACACTTGTGAGCTCTGTTAAAGCAGTCGAATCTTAATTGTTGGGAGCCTCTGCCTCTGTCCCAAATAAAATTATCCCTGCCATAAATTGCTGACTTCGGGATTGGGTGAGAGAAGATGGATAGACAGAGACTTGAACACTGGATTTACTACTACAAAGCCCTTCTATCAATTTTTTAAATGTGTCTCTTTTAGATTACAGCCCAGATTAAATTCCTGTATGAGGAACTTGGACTTGACAGCACAAGTGTTTTCGAGAATCTGAAGAAGTATCTGAAATTCTGAAATGCTATATTCAATGGGAATTGGAAACACATTGAAATACTTTCTAGTTTTATTTGCCAATGGGTTGGCAAAGGTGAGATTTTTTTAAGTTAGTGAATAGTTTATAAAATTTGCTTCTCCATCCAAATTTCATTTAGTGTACATCTCACTTACACTGTTCTCTTCTTGATGTATGTGCCCCTTAACCTAGGAAAGGAGTTTTCTAACCATGCTCCTTAGGAGGACGTGGAACAGGGAGTGAAGGAAGGATTGGTGACAGCAGAACTATCCCCTCCCCATCAGTACAGCTTTGTTTTTGTCTATTTTACTAAAATTTTCTTTGAACAGTTTACAAATCAAGGTCCTGCCTCTTTGCTAGTGAACATTTTTAGACATTTTAGTGGTAAGTCATCCTCTAGTTTATGCCTGTGTTTTATGGAATAAGAACATTCTTTACATTAAAATGCATTACATCCTTCTAGTAATCTGGAGTCCTAAGGTGTTCTGATTGTATCTATTGATGCTGTCAGTAAAGTTACAAGTTCCTGCATGTGATAATTTTCTTTTAAACATTTTATTCTTTAAAAACATTTGAGAACCTTTCCTAAAGCAGTTACATTCAAGCTACAGAAATATCAAAGAATTAATGACTATTGACTGTTCATAAAGTTTACCCAGCAGCACGCTGTACAAAAGTTACTGCAGATGCTTAGAACAGAACAGAATGCCAGTGTCTTCGTCTCTTTCATCAAGGTGTCTAGCACAGCTGTACAGTATGTTTAACACACTGGAGTAGCATGCCCGATTGGAAACAAAACACCTGTCTCTGAAATCTGTTTGGTGATGGAGGAGAGTCTTCGTGTTGTATTCAAGGATGAGACCTTCTCCCTTGCCCAGGGCGATGGCTTGCGTATCCACTTCACTTCCTTTGTTGGTGGAATTGGTACTTAATCTTATCCTTACTTTTGTGGGAATACTTGAAATCATTTGTTTTAGATTTAGCAGTGATGATTCTCCAAAGTTCAGAACCACAAGAAAGATTCTGTCTATGCCATCCATTTCTCTTGTGTACACGACAAACTGGCTGTCAGTCTTCAAATAGCAAAACCATCCCCTGTTGAGGAGCAGCTCGTTGGCATGAAGCAAACTTAATTCTTGATATAACATTAATGCCGATCTGGGCTGAGTCTTTTGGACCTATTTTTTAAAAAAAAAATATTAATATAAATGTTTGATTCTAATTTTTTAAAAATATTTTTAGTACCAAACAAGAAATTTCACCAAAAATACTTGGCTTCAGTTTGCCCCTTAAAATAATTACCAAATTGTAAGTATTAATAAGCAAATAAGAACAGTTTATTTAACTACTGATAGAAATTGCCGATGCAGGGTGTCACCTTGTCGTTGCAGTTTGTACTACAGCTCAGCCAGAGCTGATGTAGAGACCAAATTTGACTCCACTTTAGAAATCTCAAAGCAATGACCATGTCTAAGTGAATGGATACTTAACTTGCCTAAATAAAGTCCCTTTGAGCTCTTTTGTAACTGGTAGAAAAGCAGTCATGACGGGCACAGACTCTGAGAACTGTTCCCTTTCGTAGAATAATAGGTAGGTCGCCATAACTCAGCAGACGTGTGTTTTGCGTGGCTAGTGAACAGAAAGTTGCAAAAAAGGATCCAAAGAAAAATGCTACCTAAAGTAAAAGTTACTATTTTTTTAAAAAACCATAAAAATAACATGTTAAGGAAGATTTGAGTTTATTTTACAGCTATATAAACTACATACATAATTTGATATATTTCTTTTTTTTTTCCTTTAACATTTCAAGCCTCTTCTGTTATTATATAACTCTATAAATGTGATTTTAATGGCAGAATAATCTATTGAATGGTTATACTATATACTTAACCATTCCCCTTCATTTCAACATTCAAGTTTCTAATATTTTCTTACATTTTTAGTGTACCCCATATTTGGATTATTTATATAGCATATGAATATCAAAAAGACAATTACCATGTCAAAGAGTATGGACACTTGATACCTAATGCCAAATTATTCTTTATCAGAGCTGTTGCCAAATCAGTGATAACAGCCATTCCATTGTACTCCTGCCAGCCGTGTAGACTGCGGTGGTTGTGGTGGTGGCTGTTCGGGGCAGGTGCCTACTGTGCAGTCTTTAATGAATGTCTGATGGATGTTTAATACATTCATTCTCTGTTTGCCACGTACAGAGGTATTCATGATACATGTATATGGTCTATGTATATGACCTGTCAAGTTACTATTAACATTTTCTATAGCCTTAGATAATGCATGAAAAAGCATAGTTCAGTGCCACTCACATAAGAAGTGCCCAGTAAGTGTTAACTATTGTTTTTGTCTACTTGATTTACCACTTTGTAGAAGTATGTTGAAGTGTCTCTGTGTAACTGTGGAGTTGTCCGTTTCTCTTTGCATTTCTCAGAGTACTTGTTTTATATATTTTGAAGTTATTGTTAGATGCATAGATTCATGATTTGTAGTAGAATGTTCTTTTATCAATTTTTAAAAATTTGCCTTTGTCTCAATGCTTTTCATATCGAATTCTATTTTATCTGCTATTAAATATTTCCACACCTGCTTTTTGTACCTTTACTTTTTTTAATAAGATATGCATGTATACAGTATAAAACTCAATCACAAGAAGAGTACATAAATATATAAAATAAAAAGGTTTTCTTCAACACCATCCCCTAGCTTCCTAGTTCCTCTCTCAGAGATAGACACTGTTGCCGTTTATGTATTCTTTCATTTTGTATCATGAAATGAGCCATTCTGTGCCTATGCAAACATATACAGTATAGACAAACTTTTTCTTCCTAACACAAATAATGGCATGTTACCATGCTGTACTTTATTTTATTTTAGTACATGTTAGAGATGGTACATAGACCCTCCCCCATTCTTTTAAAAGTTGCATGTTAGTCCATTGTACAGATTAACCATAATTGATTCAGCTAGTTGTCTGTTAATACATTTGAATCATTTCCAGAGTCTTCTGCTATTCAAAACAATGCCATAGAGATCCTTGACTATCATGAACAAATATTCCTAGATACAGATATCCAGGAATGAAATTACTCGGTCAAAAGGTATTATGCGTTTTTTGTTAATATTTGTCTTAGATGTCTGTATTTTAATTGTGTCCTTTTATTTAGCTATGTCTTATGTCAGATTTTATCTAATCTGAGAATTTTAATCTTTTAATAGGTAAATTTAACCCATTTATATTTGTGGTTACCATATGTTTAAACATTACTGTAGCCTAATTTTCTCTTTGATTTATAGTTCTACTTTTTGTCTTGCTTTTTATTGGATCAATTGGTTATCTTTATGTAATTTTATTTTTTTTTCTCACCCGAGGACATTTTTCCATTTTTTTTGTTCAGATAGAGTGGGCGGGAGAGAGATAAACATTCACGTGAAAGGGACACATCGAATGGCTGCCACCCGCCAACCAATCAGGGCTGAGGACAAACTGCAACCGAGATACGTGCCCTTAGCAGGAACTGAACCCAGGCCTCTCTGGACCGCAGGCCGACACTCTAACCGCTGAGCCAAACCGGCCAGGGCAGTAATTTTTTTTTTTCTTTCTAATGATCTTTGAAAATTATACAGTCATGTCTATTCTTCTAATGGTTACCCTTAAAATTGTAATGGCCGCCCTGGCCGGTTTGGCTCAGCAGTTGAGCGTCAGCCTGCAGACCAGAGAGTCCCGGGTTTGGTTCCTGCTAGGGGCACGTACCACAAAAAAAAAAGAAAGAAAGAAAATTGTAATGGCCATTTTAAAATTTATGTTAATGTTTTATATCTCTTCTATATCTGTGCTGAGCACTTGAAATGTTGCTAATGTGACACAGGAACTGAGTTTTTTATTTAACAGTCACAGTGTTTAGGAAATTTGTTTACTTTGCATACTTGATCTCTTTGGCAAACTTGATCACCATGAAAACAGAAAAGTGTAGGTGAAAACCAAAGGGTGTGCTTTTCAAGAACAGCTACTGTTAGGAATTATTCATGTCTTCAGTTTCTGCAGGTTTACAGGCTTGTTCTCAAGTCCACATTACCCTAGACTGATTGAGCTCCTTCTCCTTCCTCTGAGGGGAGGAACGGAGGAAGGATAACCAGGCTTGCTGACAGACCTCCATAAAACGTCCTTAATATCTCAAAGCTCTTAGTCTCCCCGGTGAAGTTGTATATTCTGTACGATAGTTCAAATGGTACACTTTGTACCAGTTTGTGTTTTCACAGAAACATGACTTGAAAACTGTAAGAGAAGTCTGTGATTGGTTTAAAGAGTATCAGTTAAGGTTTTAGACTCAGGGTGAGTGTGTGTTATTAGCACAGAAACGCATTTCCTGTTTCTGGAATCAGCAATTGATACTTACATCAACATTCACAGTGTAGTAATCTGTACTGATGGGTAGCCAGGTGTGACTGCCTTCAGAAAAGCCAGCATTTGAGCTATTGTCCCACTGCATTGGTGACTTTGAGAGAAGGGTATCCTATGTCAAAAGACCATAAAGAGAAAACAGTGCTCTGGTTATTAAATGAAAGGTAATTTGGCCATGATTTACTTCATAATTATTTAATTTTCTATACTCGTATTCATTAGCATTCATAATGAAAAGGCCTTATTTAATGCACAACCAGTTTCACACTTTAAATTGGGAAATAGTTAATGGCTAATGGCATCTTGAGTTTGAATAGACTATATTAACTGAACTTGGATGGATACATGCTTGGACTTCACTGCTTTTCCCTAATAATGAGTAACGTAAGATTTCAAAATGTGCCATTACCAACTCATTTCTACTGTGATACAGTGATGGTGAATTCACGTATGCAGCCATGGACTGGTGAGCCTAAATTCTACCCTCTTCACCCAGCCTGGTTATTGCACGTGAATTGGGAGCTCACAGATTTAGGAGCTGAAATAGAAAAGGTTTCCTTTGACCAAATATTAGGGAAATTGGATCTCATACAATTGAAAACTAATCAATCATACAAATTATAGGTTAAACAGTATTTATCTACCCAGAACACAATTATGAGATCCATTACTTCAAACAAAAGCAAAATAAAAACCACCCAAGTCTGAGGCTATGCATTGCTTTTGTTAAAGTATCAGGAAGAATCTTTGTGCTGTGATCAAGCGAGATCTAGCAATACAGACAAGCACTGTAAATAAATGTTCCTGGACATGTACAGGACAATGAGTAATATTCCAAACTCAAAACCGGTTCTCAAATTGTAGTGTGCCTAAGAATCAGCTGGGAGACATCTTTAAAACACAGATTCCTGGCCGTGGCTGGGTTGCTCAGTTGGTTAGAGCGTTGTCCCAATTCACCAAGGTTGCAGGTTCAATCCCTGGTCAGGGTACATACAAGAACAAATTGGTGTTTCTTCCTCTCTAAAATTGATTTATTGATAAATAAAATGCAGATTCCTGAGCTTTACAAGAGAAATTCAATTGTGTGTCTCATTTTTTTTTTTTTTTATCCTCACCTGAGGACATTTTTCCATATTTTGTTCAGACAGAGTGGGAGGGAGAGAGAGAGAGAGAGAGAAACATCAGCGTGAAAGGGACACCTCAAGTGGTTGCCACCCGCACGACCCAACCAGGGCTGGGGACAAACTGCAACCGAGGTATGTGCCCTTAGCGGGAACCGAACCCAGGTCTCTCCGGACCGCAGGCCGACTATCTAACCACTGAGCCAAGCCGGCCAGGGCTGTGCGTCTCATTTTTAACAAGCTCCCCAGCCAAGAAAGCTGAGAATTCTTACTAACAGTAAGAGAAAAAAGCAAAGTAATCATAACTTTCAGCTATCAAATAGAAATAGTAAATTCTCTGATTTGGCAAAAATGAGTATATTGTATGGTACATGGTTAAATTGTATTAACTTACAACATTATAGCTTTCGTTGAGATTTGTGGCTAAAATATTTCCCATTCCTATTTCTTCCCCGTAGTAGGTAATGGGAGTTCCAGGAAGTGTGAAAACAAGCATGTTCATGATGTTAACATATTCTTTCCCCAAACGAGAAGTCAGCCGGGCATTGTCCGGTCCACCGATCTGAAAGACACATATTTTTAAGAACACAACTCTATACACAGTTTTCCAGACTAACCATTTCACAAAAAGTTTACCAGGTGAAAAACAGAGTTGTTACCATGGATGCCTTGGTGTCAGCAGGCCTGAATTTCAATCCCAACGCTGCTACTTGCTCCTTAACTGACCAATTTATGGTTTGGGCCATTATGATCAACAAAATAATTTACTTCACAGTGATATTGCAAATCGGATAAAATTTATGAAGGTGCATGTTAATATTTTTGCACATTTGGATAAGGGAATATTGACAAGAAAGGAAACAAAAATATTTCCCATAAAGGGGACAAGGATATAACTGGTGGGAGAAGGATGATTTTTTTCTTTTTTTTTTCAATTTATATTAATATATTTTTGTTACAGATGTTTCTCCTCCCCCCCCCCCAGACTCTCTTCTCCCCATTAAACCTTCCTATTTAAAAAAAAATTTTTTTTCTTTATTGAGAGAGAGATAGAAACACTGATGAGAGAGAACATCTATCGGCTGCCACCTTCATGCCCCACACTGGGGATTTGGCCCACAACTCAGGCATGTGCCCTGACCAGGAATTGAACCGGCGACCTCTTGGTACATGGGTCAGTGCTCAACTACTGAGCCACCCTGGCTGGGCTAAAGCTTCCTATTTTTAAATATGATATTTTTGTGCTCCAATTACATAGTATAACATTTAGTTCTTTTTTTTTTTTTTTTTTAATCCTCTCCCCAGGAAATTTTTGCATTTATCTTCAGATAGAGTGGGGGGGGGAGACAGAGGAACCAAGAGAGAGAAACATTGATGTGAGAGAAACACATCAACTAGTTGCCACCCACATGACCCCAACTGGGGCCGGGGACAAACTGCAACTGAGGTACATGCCCTTGGCAGGAACTGAACCCAGGACTCTCTGGTCTGTGGGCCTATGCTCTAACCACTGATCCAAACCAGCTCTAGTTCTTATTTAAGAATTAATTTAAATCACCTAACAACTCTTTCCATAACTCACGTGAAACGGGCTCTGAGAAACAGCCTCATTTATTCACATCAGGGAGTGAGGCACAATCAGCCTTTGAACCTGAGTCTGAGAACAGGAACTTGGTTGTTACAATTCAGGAAAAGGAAGACTGCTTTTTTTTAGATGTACTAAAATTATCTTTACAGTGATATTTTATAGGCCACTGTAAAGTATTTTTCTATTTTTAAGGACAGAAAAATGGGTCAAATTTGGCTTCATTTATTCTTTTCATTATCTTAAGAGCATCTGACAGGAAACCCTGTTGTGATTTTCAAGCCTTCTGGACCTAGAGCACGTTTTTTTTCTGAACTATTTCTACAGGTAGCTAACAACAGTGGACAGAGATCAGGCCTCCCACGGACTGAGAGGTCCCTGTCACCTATGATACCCGAGACTTTCAGTATATGAAAAAACAAGTACGAAAACTACATTATAAAATTTGTGATATAGGGCCACTTTTAGAATGGTGCGGTAAGGAGCTCCAAAAATCTCTACCATAAAAGGAAATGCTGACATAAAACTAACAATCCACCTTTTCAGAACTCCAGAAATTAACGAAAGCCTTGCAACAATCCAAGGACTATTTTTCAAGGAAAAACAGCTGGATCTCAGAATGGCACGCTTTGTGTCATTTTAACTTGCCCTAACTTTATGCCTCTCCCTTTAGATCTATGATCACCTTGAAAACCAACAGACTTGTAACTGTAGTAGCTGTGGCAGAATAGATTTTGAATTCACCGAAAGCATCATATCTAGAAAACTGTCACTGACCTCTCTAGCAGCTAGGATTTTGGTGGTTGTTTTTTTTTCCTTTTTCTGATCTGATTCAGAGCTGATTCTGCAAATAGCCCCATCCCCAGGACATTTGCCAAAAACAACCAGCAGCAGTTGTTTAGCATTATACCTGCCAGGGGTGGTGGTACCAATTGGGGCTAAACAGAGACTGACAAAGAAACCTAAAGACTGGTGAATGAGATGTCCATAAGGGGCTCTGACATACTCCTGGAATCTAGAAGGCTACACCAAAGTACAGGCTTTGCGATGCCCAAGAAGACCTGGGCTTACTGTTTCAAGGCATTTAAAGAATGTCCAATCCTTAGGTGACTGATAAGCAGAGACATGGCCACACAACAAAGATGACAGGTTTGGGAGGATTAATTCAAAAAAGTCACTAAAGAAACAGCAACAAACTCTAGGGAGGGGAGAATGTAATTTCCAGATTACATTTTATATATATATATATATATATATATATATATATATATATCTCCAGTTTTTAAAACATCAATAAAATGAATATAAGAATGCAAAGAAACAGGAAATTAAGGTCCATACATAACGAGGTTGGGGGAATCATTCAATAGAAAATGTGGCTGAGAAAACCCAAATGTTGCACTTACTGGACAAGGACTTAACTATGATACATATGTTCAAGGAGCTAAACTATGTCTAAAGAATGTAAAAGAAAGTATGATAAACAATGCCTCATCAAATAGACACTATCAATAAAGAGAACTGATGAAAAAGAACCAAATAGAAATTTGAGTTGAAAAGTACAATAACAAATGGAAAAGTCAGTAGAGTGGCTTGGCAGATTTGGACTGGCAGAGAAATCAGCAAATTTGAAGACAGTTCAACTGCGATTATAGTCTGAGAATTTAAAGGAAGAGAATGAAAAATGAGAAGAAGCTGTAGAAGCTGGGACAGGCCTGGCTCACTAAACAATCACCAAGTAAGGGAAAGGTGAAGGTCACTAAGAGATACATCCTTCATTTTAGAGGTGACTATTTAATAAACTCACCAGTACCAGACATGCTGAGCTGGGCATGAGGACTTACCATCCAATTAGGCCATTTTCCTTCCGGTATATGTTTCATCCAGGATGTGATAACCTCAAACACATTGTTCCCAGAAGGACTCTCTAGCCTAGTGAAGTAATTGTTGAAGGGAAAGTCTGCTTCTTGGATAAAAGGCAACCCGTAGTACATCATGGTCCTATCAATGCTGTCTCCATAGGCTTCAGTGCCCATGAACCTGTAAGAGTTGCATGGTACAGTGTCTTCAGGGCCTGGGAAAGTGCTTATATCTGATTAACAAGATGTAGGGGGTGAATACACTGCTAACCATGGTGGGCTGGGACTCACTAGAAAAAGCCACATGACCAAGAAATAACATATTGGGTCACCTGAACAATTTCTCATTGTAATAAACCCAAAGATGAGCCTAATACTAAGGCCATGTCTAAGAGTTAAACATTTAGATCTCAATCAATATTGTTCTTTCTAAATCCAATAGAAACTCAGTCACTTCCAGGAAGACTAGCAATTTTCATCACTCCACGTAGAATTTTCAGTATATGTCTACATATAAGGTCAAGGGGGTTAAAAAACAAACATTCGCCTGAAATGACCTGCATCAATGCTGACTTAGGTTGTGTGAGACATTACCTTAATGAGTAAGTATACCTGAAGCCCAGGTGTTTCCGTTCCCATCCCATCTCTGCCATTACTACATGTGTGACCATTACCTTCCTGTATGCTCAGAGTCCGTTTCCTCATCTGTAAATGGAGATTGTAACCAGAGGACCTACTTTACAGAGGAGAAATTTCTTTAACTTTCTACTGATTCTATTGGTTGATTATATAAACATAGTTAAGGTTAAGTTCATTTTGTCTATTATGTGCTAGGCACTGTTTTAAATGCCTCAAGCATTATCTCGTGTAATCTCACAACAGCCTTATAAGGGTGTGGCTAGCACCTTTCAATTGATGAGAAAAGTGAGACTTCTGTTTAACTGACCAGCCCAAGCTTGCTCAGCCATTATGCAGGAGTCCATCACAGACCCATCTGATTCCAAAGCAAGTTCCTAACCATTGTGATCTACTAACAGTTTAGTTGAAACATTTGGATTCGTACTCCACAAGGACACTAGCAGGTCAGATAATAATGATGGCTAACATTTAGATAACATATTATCTTTTAATTTCACAAGTGTTGTAGTTAACATTTTACAAAAGAGGAAACAAAATCAGTGATGTTAAGCAACATGAGAGAATATACCAGGCCATGGCCTAAAGAATATACCAGGCTTTGGCCTAATAATACATTGTAATTATGCAGGTTTGTTTAATTATAACTTGAACCTCCTGAGAATGCTTGGGTGTGAGGAATGAACTGCTGAACCTGTGACATATGGAAGTGCGTCCTACAGTTACCTGTATCTCCCAGGCTCCCTGCTATGTTGGTCCATTGTCTGCCGAAAGCTCCGGACAATGTCGTGCATTCCCACCTGCGTGGTGGTGAAGTCATGGTACAGCTCTGAGTAGTGTGTGACTGTGTCCTTTGAAAACAGGACAGCACAGTTACCATCATTTCACATGTCAAATAATGCAAATGTAGGCTGTCTCTTCAGAGGGCTCAAGCCGAGATACATGGTCAAAGAAGGTCCCAGCACTTTCAATGCTCCAGAGGTTTTGTGGATGGAGAACATCCATGACTATTAACACTTCCTGTGATGCTTAAATTATTAACTATAATTCTAGTAAACAAATTCTGAACATTTAAACATTGGTAACAAATGTATGTATCAAAATCATCCTCCTAAACATTTATTGTCCTAAATGCTCCAGACTCTCTTAAAGGCAAGCAAAACAAATTATCTTAATGATTTTAGAGCTCATTATTACACCTATACTTTATCTGCTCACAAATTATTATCATGCAATTTAAACTTGTTTTGTTTGTTTTTTACCACTTCTTTATTTTCACTGTTATACTCTCCCAGGGTTTCAGTAGTTTTTCCTGATACTCATTCTATGCCTTTCAAAGAAAAGATTATGTCTAACACAAAGCCAAGGTTGTAAGTCCTGGAATGGAAATGGGCAGGCTGGACAATCCAAACCTGAGTTGCCATTCATTCAATGGATCCTTTTTATTTTATTTTTTTCAATAAGTGAACTTCAAGTGAATTTTTGGAATCTTAGATCTTTTCCTGAAATCACATAATCTTGAAGTTTTCCTTGGACAGCACACAAATCCCTTTGTTCTGACTGTCTGTCAAGGCTGGAAAGAAATGCCTTTCTTATGACATCTCTTTACTTAGCCAAGTTATTTTGAGATTTAGTCTCAAAGGATAAGTGCTTCTCTTTGGGACAACTAGTTAATTCATCACCCCCCACCCTTTTTATTGAAAATCATGTGCAAAATAAAAAAGACTTAATCATAACTTTTGGTTCATGATGTGCTCTCATAATTGTTCCATGTATGGCCAACTTCTCTTTAGTTAATTGGTTGTTTTAATGAAGTCATAAGTATCTATAAATTTTTTACTCAGGACAAAAGCTTAAAAGCTTGAAAATAAACTCTATAGCCATATGAATTTTTTGTTGTTGTTAATCCTCACCTGAGGATATTTTTCATTGAGTTTTTCAGACAGAGTGGGAGAGAAACATTGATGTGAGAGAGACACATCAATTGGCTGCCCCCTACAGAACCCCAACCAGGGCTGGTGATCGAACCCAAAACCAAAGTATGTGCACTTAACCAGGAAGTGAATCTGAGATGCTTTGGTCTGCCAGCCCATACTCTAACCACTGAGCCAAAGAGGCCAGGGCTGAATTTCATTGTACTTGCTTAACTTTATAAAAAGGACATCATGCTATATATAATATTTTTAGATTTTTTTTTTTTTTTTTTGCTACACATTTCATTGCTAAGATTCACCACATTGCTGTGTATCACTGTAATTCATTGACTTTGACATTTTATTGTATAAATATACAAATCCATTATTCTGGAATGCATTTTAGGACTCCTGTCTACTTGGCCTAGAAAACAGAGTGACTGTAGAATGGTGGTCAACCAGAGGAACAGTGCCATGTGGTTAGTGTCTCATCTGTGACATGAGGGGCGGTTGAGAACCACCGGGGGGAGGGGAGGGCATGTCCAGATTCTGTAGCAGATAGAATTGGTTGTAACTCTTTACCTGTCATCCCTGATAAGTTAATTTCTCTAAGAGTTGCTAAACGAGGATCATGTAACCACTCTCACAAGATGTTGAGAGAGTGAAATGGAATATCCTAAATAAGCAGCACACGGCATACAATAGATGCTCAGCAAGTGTTGGTTCCCTTCCCTTCCCTGTGAGTTCTTTACTGACCACAAAAGCTCCTGGGGGAATTTAGGCCTCATTTGAGCTCAAGTGAGAAGACAAAACTGCAGTAGTGGCCCTGGATGGTATCCACACTGTCCATGACCTGAGGACCCTCAAGGGACCCCTGGCTCTTGAGGGAACCAGTGGAAGGAAACATCTGGTCATATGCATTTGAAACCCTCTGTATTTGCTAAAAAGGTGATTTAAAGCACTTCCTACAGACAGGACAGAATGCATCTCTGGCAACTGGTGTCTCAGACTAATAAAGAGAAGTGATGACATTTTCAGAAAAGGGGAAAAAATGTCTAAAACAAAACTTTACCGGGGTCTGCGTCTTATCCACTTGGGCCTCGTCTCTCAGATGCTTTGCTTCTAGAAGAAACTTAACAGCCTCGAAACTAAAGCCATCAACACCCTTTGCAAGCCAGAACTGTATAATTTCCTAAAATGAAGAAGCAAAATACTTGGTTACATCAACTACAATAATGTTTAATAAGGAGTTTGTCTGTTAATAAAACATCTCCACAGCCCAAACACCTGCAGCACTCATACTGTATTTTTATCTATTCAGCACAGTAGTGTCTCAGTATAATAAACTCAGGAACTGCATTTATGGACTCCCATACTTCCCTCATATTTGAATTCAGAATGTTACATTTATAGTTGATGATACAAACATGTTTCCAAAGTTTATTTTATTTTTTATCCTCACCCGAGGACATTTTTTGTTCAGATAGAGTGGGAGGGAGAGAGAGAGAGAATCATCGACGTGAAAGGGACACATCGGGGCCGGGGAGGTACATGTCCTTAGTGGGAACCAAACCTGGGTCTCTCTGGACCACAGGCTGACGCTCTTAACCACTGAGCCAAACCGTCCAGGGCCATGTTTCCAAAGTTTAAAGAATTCATTCAAAATGAAAGATTGGACTCAGGAGAAACTGGGAACATATCTCCCTCATGCTGATTCTTTACAGGTCACTCCAAACTGAGAATAACCAGCGAAACACCCGGTCCTGAAAGGCCCTTCCACCAGACTGGGAGGTTCTTGGGGCGAAGTCTGCTTCATTTCTTTCTCCCTCACCACGGACACACTACCTGGTACTCAGTGAACCAGTCCTGGAATCAGAGGAAGAAGTACAGTGAGCTGGACTGAGTCAAGTACAGTGTGACACTGTTGGGACACCAAAGGAGCACAGCGTGTTCCCTGGCTTGGAGGCATCTACTGAATAACTGGGGACACATGAGAGGGTTACCTAACAGTACAAGGCAGAGCACGGGTCAACCCCGTAAGAGGAGAGTTCTCGGTCGCAGGGCTGTTGGAGCTCCAAGAAGATCAAATTTAACGTGGGTACTACCGAAGAAGGAAGAGCTAGTGTTTGAACCTGGCCAGTGGGATTTCATCAGGGGGTGAGATGAGAAGAATGTTCTGGACTGTTTGTGGGACAGCATGAACCAGTCGCGGCTAGCAGAGACTGACTTGACCTGGCCTGTATTGGGGCAGTTGGGAGGATTAGGCCCTTGCAAAGCAGAGGCTTGGTCCCAGCTTCCCCTCCCACCTGAGGCATCTCCTCTCAGCCTGGCCTACACCAGCGCTGACCACAGCTACCCTCTGTGAAGGGACTGTGGGTCTCCCCACGTGCTCTCTGCTCATCCCCTGCTCACTGGAAGGTTTTACAGGAATGCATCACATTAGAGCAGAACCACCTGTAATTCAATGTACTGGAGTCCAGTAGCCAATTTTCACCTGTTGAGGGGAACAGAGCCTTAAAATCCTAACGAGGACTAGCCCCAAAATCACTTGCTGATTTGAAGTGTTTCTTGCATTTACATGTGAATATGGGATCTCCAGGGTGCTGCAGTTTAAGGGTCTCAAAGGTTTCTGTTGGCCAAATGCAAGGGTTCATACTGCTGAGGTCAATTCCTTCAATGTGACATTTTTGAATGGCAAAGCTTGAAAATTTTTTCAAATCTCAGCAGGCCCTTCTGCTGACAATCCTTAGAGTGGACACAGTTGACCCAAATAACTTTAAGCGGGCACTGCCCAGTGGAATTTTTCTTTGGGGCACAAAACCCACAAATTTGTTCTCACTAGCTGCTTTACTTCTTACCAAATGTAAGTATCTGAGCTCCAACTCTGGGCCAGGCATTAGCTAAGCCCTGGGACTACCACCAGGAAAAAATACAGCAGGCAGCTCTAGGGCTCCAGGGTACTTTTAGAATCCCCAACTAGACAATCCAATTGTAATGCAAAAACATTTAAATCAAAGCCAGAATAAAGCTTTAAAGGAGAGGAACAAGGAAATACGAGAGGGTAAAATAGTAGGATTTGCCAGGAGTCCGCACTGGAGGATGACAAGAAGTGAGGGCAAACGGTTCGAGCCTGAGCTAGGGAAGTCAACAGGTATTAAGGCACCTGATTTGTAGAACAGGATCTAGGTGGCTTGAGGGGCCTCTCAGGTGTATGAGCCCCTTCCCACCCACCTTCTTTTCTCCTTCTAAATAAATACTCATTTTTCTGTACCTACTTTTACAGTCTTTTTATTGTAAGAAGCCCCCAAGTTTTTACAAGCTTCAGATCCCACACAACTGGGACCCACCTCCAGGTGGCGCTGTTCTTTACAAGAGGGAACCATGGCAGGGGATCAGGGTGGGGGTGGGGCACAAATAGCTGTAATCCAGCTGTAAACATTAAACACCATGATGCTGTCAACATGAAGCTTTTGAGCACTGATTTCCTGAAATAAAGCTACTAGTTTTCTTGATGGGGTCCTTATTCACCTAGGGGTTTTCAGCCTCGTTTACTATTGATCCGGCATTAAAGAATGAGAACTGTGTGCCCCACCAGAGGTTTATGGCCCTGGGAGGGGTTTTCACTTTAGTCCAGTAAGAGATGTTATCATTGTTTGATGAAGCAAAACAGCAAAAGCTGGATGCTTATAAATGCTGAGGTTTTCACTCAGATAATCCAAACTTTGCTCTTGAAAAACATTTGCTTCATGCTATTTATACCCTCCATCAAATGAGAAAAGAGAGCCCCAGATTTTAATTATTAACCCTCTCTTTACTCTAATTAAGCTCTCCCCGGGTGCTGGGTATGGAAATGGGCACAGAGCCTGGTTCCGCCAGGACGGGATGACCCCTGTGGGCGCCACAGGACTCTGGGGACAGTACACCGTGTCCCCGATTCCTGTTCAACTCCCACATCACATAGTCCTGGTTTTTCACCAGGCTCCTATTCATTCTTTTCTCCTTAAGCAACTTGCTGCCCTGCGTGAAAAAGGAATTATTTCAATATTATGGATATCCAAATTCATGAAAACTTGAGGCTAATCTTTCCTTTTAAGATAACCAAGGTTACTGGGCCCGTTTACCTAAAAAGCCAGGTTTGGAGAAGAGAAGCTTTGCTTTTACATGTGATGATCTGTAAGACTTCCTTTTTTTTTTTTTAATCTTCACCCGAGGATATTTTTCCATTTTTTTGTACAGGTAGAGTGGGAGAGAGAGAGAGGAAGGGAGAGAGAGAGAGAAACATCGACGTGAAGGGACACATCGAGTGGCTGCCACCCGCACGACCAACCAGGGTGGGGACAAACTGCAACCGAAGCACGCGCCCTTCGCGGGAACCGAACCCGGGTCTCTCCGGACCGCAGGCCAACGCTCTAACCGCTGAGCCAAACTGGCCAGGGCTGTAAGCCTTCCTTTGATAATGACACAAACCCCTGCAAGAGGGGTCGTCCACTGCAAGAGGGAATGAGAAAGTAGGCGATACTTCGGGAGTCCAGAGAGAAAACTGTATTCTCTGTTTATAGGCAAAGGAAAGAAAACTGACCGTAGTGCTGCTCAGAAATCTTGGTAAAATTCTTTGCTAAGTCCTCCAGGAGCCGAGGGTAGAGGAAGGATCACGGGCTCCGAATCTGAGCCGTCTCTCTACCGTCCCATCTCCCCATGGTCCAGCTGCACAAGTTAGGGCATCAGCATGACCTCGTAAAACCTTAAATGAAACAATACCCACCTGCAGGGTGTCTGTGAGGTAAGTGCGGTATTGCTGCTAGAGTCAGCTGACATTTCAGTCTTTACATTTCCTACCTCTCTGCCGGGTTCCATACCACTGAGTAACCTCCTCTTCTACAAACGCACCCGTAGCGGCAGGACTCCCGGCCCCCGGTCTGCCACTCCTGGTCTGTCTGTCTGTCTGTCTGTCTGTTGGTCTGTTTGGCAGGCCTTTAAATGTTGATGCTCCTTGGGGTTCCAGCTTACACCTTCTCTTCATTTCACTTCACAACGTGTTTACTCATTTATCTATCCATTTATTGGTTATTTAACAAGTACTTATGTAATAATGGATACATTGTCCTAAGGACTTTACAAAGGTTAAACCCTTTAATCCCCAAACAACCCTGCGAGGAGGTGTGTATTGTTATTGTTCCTGTTTTACCAATGAGGGAACTGAGGCACCGGGGAGATGAAATACCTTGACCAAGGTCATCCAGTCAGTGGTGGCATCAGAACTGTGACCCTATAGCACACTTACCCATTTGCTATGCTTTTTTGCTATGTCCCTGAGCAACCTGTCCTATATTCGCTATCCATTGAACACTTGATGTCACAAAGAGAGCGCACTCTACGTAACTAAGACATCTCCCCTTCGCTTCCCATGTCTCCCATCTCAGGAAGCGGCACCATACCCAGTTAGCATTCAGATCCCAAATCTGGGAGTCACACCAGACCCCTCTCCAAGTCCTGATGATCTCTCTGCAACCCCCAAGCCACCTCATTGGTCCAAACCCAGCATTTCTTTCCTGATCACTGTGCCACCATCTTCCTCAGCCTCTCTCTGCCTCTAAACCTGCTCTACTCCAACCTCTTCTCCAAAGCCAAATGGATTTTCAAAATACAAATCAAAAATTATTTCCCTAAGACCTTCTAAACCCAAACCTTTACCACAGCCTTCAATGCTGCTTAGACCTGGTCCTTCTCTAGTCTAGTCCCTCTCTCTATACCATGTCCCAGCCATATTGGACAACTCCTATCACTTCTAATATGCCATAATCCATGCTTTCTCTCTGCTTGACACACTCCCGACCATGTCTCTCCACTTGGCTCATTCGTACTCATCCAATAGGTACCAATGCTTCCTCTGAAAACCCTTCCCTGATAGCTCCCATTCCATGATTCCATGCCCAGGTTAGGTGCCTGCCCTGTGCCCTCCTACTTCTCACGGTCATGGTCACTCAGCACACTTTATTGGAATTGCCTATCTGTCTACCACCCTTTCAGAATATAAGCCCCAGAATGGCTACAGCGTATGTCTACCTTACCAATCACCATGCCCCTGGCATATGGTCAATACGCAGTTCACATTGTTAAACAAGTAAACGATATAATGCAGTGCATATAGGAGGTACAATAATGGCACACTCATCATCAAGCACAGAGCAGGTT